GTCTTACGCCGTGTGTGTGAACACAGCCTAAAATAACCATCAACTTTTTTTTTTCAAAAACATCAATAGTGCCCTTGTGATAATTTGTCTTCCTATTAGTCTGCTAAATGTGAATTTGGGTGCTTCAACAAGGTTCCTGTATAGCCTAATAGCCCAGTTATGTTTTACACATTTTTTTTATCTAATGATTTTTACAGAATTCAAGGTTAAATGAGGTGGATGATAATAGTTGGGAAAGGACAAATATGTCTGCAAACTTCTGAACCCAATTTGTATTAATATCTTAAGACATGATTTTCCTGGAAAATTTTTTTTTTATGTTTTTGTTTTTTACAGGGGTAGTCTGTGGGTGCAACTCACCCATAGTCGCATACCTAGGGAAGGTTTGAAGACCTAAAATACACCCTACAACCAAGATTTTTTTATACCAGATCTTGGTTTCTCTTGTGTTCCTGGCTCGGTCTTTATTTACTTTTTTATCTCAAAGAAAAAATCTGTTTATACTTATTTTTAATTTCCTTATTAAAGTATGGACTACAAAACCAGAGACCAAGAACTAAGTGAAAATAAAGAAATTTGTAACTTGTAAGTCTTGTTTTCAAATATCTAGGTTTTCAAGACCAACAGATCCTGGTAATTTTTCTGCATAAATGTTTTCTTTTTTTTAAAGGAAAAAAGGGGTGGCAAAAAATAGATGAAAGGAACAACTTGTTTGATTTTTTTAATAGGCTCTGGTGGTGGAAATTATCAGAACCTGTTAACACCATTTGTTTTGCATTGTCTGATGGCATTGACCTGGTAGAAAGTACAAATTGCATAATTATCTTTCCTGCTATGTTTGAATTTGAATTTTTTTTAGTCCAATTGAACAAATCAATTTAACAGATACTATATTCATTTTATTTGAAATATTTTTCAAGAGGGTGGCCATTGAAGCTGAACCCAGAGACCAACTGATATGCATGGCTCTATAAAATGACTACAATATACAACATATACAAATAAAAAAGAACAAGTTGAAACATTCACAATTTAACAATAAAAAAAGCTGTAAATTCAATTTCTTACAAATGCATCCATAATAAGAGAGAAAAAAACACTCCCCCCCCCCAAAAAAAAAAAATACATTTGCAAAAATATGGATTTTTTTACACATTTGAAAAAATCAATAGTTTTTTTCAACTTGTGGGGTTAAAATATGTACAATACAGGCCTAACTAAAAAAATGTCTAAAATATATATTACTTCAAGCCCCTTTGGAATCAGCACTTGTTCTAATGGAATGTGCTGAAACTGTGGAAAACTGCTTTTTGGATTTACAGTGGATTTATATTGAATTTACATTGGAATTATACTAGATTTATTTTGGAATTACACTGGTTTTATATAGGTTAAACTAGCAAAACATCCCTTTAATGGATTTCTTTGGTCCTTTACATACAGCAAATGATGGCTTTATAGTTTTTACACTGGATTTATACTGACTAAACTAACAAAGCGTCCTTGTAAGTTTTACCAATATAAATCCAGTGCGGACAGCCGGGAAAAACATTTCTCTTGGTGAAGTTATTTAGCCATACTTAGGCTACGGTCACGCTAGAGTTTTCAAGTCTGGCTTGACTCACCGCGGGTGAGATTTTCATAATGTGACCGCATCTGCACCGACTCGCGCCTGGTGTGACCTCGATCTTAATCTACCTATCTTGATCCCGTCTCAGCACCCATATTGACCCTGGATTGACCCTGGTGTGACCGAGATTGACATTTCCTCGTCGGGTGTCGACCAATCACAGTCGATGACGCCGTTGCGTTTAGAAGTTCTTGAATAAAAAACCCGCGAGTTCTTCATGTGTGTTCAATCAAGACGCAATCATTACTTTTCATAAAAGTTAATTAAAATTTTAATTTTAAATTTTAAACTGCTGACCTGGTAGATTTGTGGGGCCAACCCGAGCTGAGAGACCAGATAGAAAGTAAAAAAACAAACAACAAAACTGGAATTTTTGGCGTGCTTGCTGACAGATTAGCCAGTCTCGGACATGAGAAGATAACGACAGCCCAAATTCAAACAAAAGTGAAGGCATTGCGAGCTTAATACAATCTGATAAAAGATCAGTTGAAGAAGAGTGGTTCGGGCACGTCTGGTGTACAATCTTTGATTGTGATCCACCCAATCACACGCGCGTATATTGAATCCCGTGAAACAGAGTTGGCCAAACTCTTTCTTTACGGCTCTGCTGTTTCGACTTTCATAATTTGGAGGTCAATCCAACTAGTGTGACCGACCCAGAATTTCAAGCCTGGCTTGAAATCTCACCTGTGTTGAGTCAAGCCAGGCTTGAGACGCTAGTGTGACCGTAGCCTTAGTTAAGCCAAGCAAATTGTGCAATGGAGATTATCCGTCAGGGTGTACGTTTCCAGGGCCATTTTTTCCGGGGCCATTTTTACCTACAACCAGCAATTAAGAAGCACCCACTTCATATATAGCATTTAATATGCCTGTAGCACATTGTAGTACTATTTTGTACGATATGCTATATTTGCTATTTAATGCAATGACATTGTCTGCTATAGATGGGTTAAGCAACTATGCAGTAGTAGCAGTTAAAGAATTAATGGATGGCTATGCTCAATCTTTATAAAACTTTAATATTACCGGTTATGACGTACTGTTGCTGCATGTGGGCACCTACTGAAATTTCAAATATTTATAGACGAGAAAGGGTACAAAAAAAAAGGCAACTAGAATAATTATGTACAGAAAGGAAGGAAATTGGGGCGTGTCATATTTATATAGATTAAGGATTTTGAATATTTTAAGCATGGAGGATATTTTTAAAGTATATCGACTAACGTTAGGTTTTAAAATAATGCATGGCCAATGTCCATTGTCATTTAATAATCTTGTGAGATCAAGTGAAAGGTGTGAAGGGCGATTAATACATTGGAAAGTTATTTTGTTATTTTTCCTAGATTATGGGAACAACTTCCTAATGAAATTAAACAATGTACATCCATTTCGGACTTTAAAGCCCAGCTCACAAAACACTTGATCTCAAAATATTAATAATAACAACTATTAATTATCTCTGTTTTCCATTTTGTTATAGTTAAATCAATTTATTTTGAATTTACTTTTTGTATATATTTATATTGTATTGTCATTGTATTTGTTTTTGATGATGGAGTAAGAGCAGTTTACTGTTGAGGCTTATGCCTATTACTTACTCCTGGCAAGAATATTTATGTACACTTTTTACTTTGCTGAATAAATATTATTATTATTATTACAGTATTATTAATAAGTATCATTGATATTGTATCAGCATGATTTAACCAGGAAGAGATATTAGCACCTCCCCGGTTTAACATACTGTAGTATTAAGGACAAATGATTTTCTCAAATAGAGAATATAAAAGAAAATTAAGTCCGACCATGGAGGTATAAAACACTATAGTCTATCCATTAAGGCTACAAGTACATACTGTCCATTAGAATCAAGGATGCAGGTTTATTTAATCCTTGCATAAGACATGATAGTACCAAGTGTTTAGTGACAACTCCTCCCTTATTAAATTACAATCATTGTGCTTTCAGCTAATTCCCTGGCCATATCATCAGTTCTGGAAAAACATAAGCGACTGGTATGGTACTTACATTACAGCATAAAAAGTGGACTCATCCATTTTGGTTTTAGGGTGGTGAAAATACTTTCAACAAACTATATACATCATTTCACAAATCTTTAATTTTTTTTGCAACATTAATAATAAAAAAAAATCTCAAATAAATAAAATCGCAGTTTCTAATTTTACATGCAAAAAAAAATTCAATTTAGAAGACTTTCTAAATGCTACCATATGAGGGCAGCATTCAATTTTATAGTCCAGTGAAGCATTATGTTAATTTGTAGATCCATATTTACTATGTTCATTGAAATAAACAAATAAAAAAAAAGTTATTACTAGTATATGAGCATCGCAGGAACTGCCAGAAAAAAGGAAATGCACTGCACAAGTGTGGTACAGTTCCTACTATTATTAGGTAAATTCCATATTTTACCATTTTATTGAAATCCATGAATACAGTATGTATACTTGTACAAGTGATGTATTTTTAGTCGTTACAAAATGTGCAGTCTACTTACCACTGGAAAGTTCACTGGCTTTTTCAAACATAGCTTCTATTGCCTTTGAATTCTTGAAAAGATAGGAATTCTTCATATTTTCCGCAGAAGCCTGAAGGTAAACCAAATTGGAAACATTTTACTAGCCTACTGTGTAAGTGTATTTTAGAGACACACAGTCAAACTCATTTCCTATATTTAAATATATTGACTTTAACAAACATATTTCTGCATTTTGAGAAAAGCAGAAAATACTAATGGTGATTTTGATTTGGTGAGTAGTACCTGTAAATATTTCTTTTTTCACACACAAAAAAATGATGATCATTACTAAAACTGATAGCATATCCTTTTAATTATATATCAAAAGGCAATTTCAACACTTCATATTCGATGCAAGACCAATCTTAAAGTCAACTGAGCTTCTCGCTTTAAACTTTCTCTGGGCTTTTGCTGGGGAAACACTGGTATATGAAATTGAATGTAAAGTTGGGCGTGGGCTTATAGTCAAGGGAACTACACTATTATCATTCAATGGCAGTAGCATTATTCAGTGGCAGAATTAAATAGAGTTCACATTTGGTCATTCAAGTATACCAGACTAGCATTTGTCACCTTGAGTTGGTTAAGGTGTTTCCTGTAGGCAGTCGTTTCCTTCAGTGGTTCCAAAAGTTCAGCATATCCTGTAATACAGCCAGCTAGTGCTTCATTGTAAGTGCTCATCATCTGCGAAGTCAGCACAGGTAGTGAAAGCTGGGCCAAAGCTTCTTCAACAGACAGCTAGGACAAATAAATTAACTCAATTAATATTCCTTGTTGAGTAACTAGGAAATTCAGGCTGGCCCCCGGTGACCCACGGAAACTAGTGTAGCACCACACCTAGTGTTGAATTGAGCAGTACTCCAAAAGAAATGGGTCCATGAAGTACACATGACCAAGAACTTATACATCTCTATCAAAAGATGTTCCACTTAAAGCAGACTTTTTATCATCCTTGTTTAGATACCACCACTAATGATGATTTTGAATAAAAACAAAGTTTTATTTCTGGTCAATTAGTGCACCCACCGCCACAAAAAAATGAAAATTTCAAAAACAAATAATTTCTTCTTTATTTTTATTACACCCTCCGCAGCCTTGAAATCTCCAAAAATAAGATATGTATATTTCTTCCTAATTACATAAATTTAAAGCATTTTAACCATCCCATTGATATTCTGTTTCATTCCAATACCATTATTTTTATTATTATTTCTCTTCCATCTGGATATTTTTGGCAAAACCATATGCTATATAAGAAAACAAAATTTTGGTTTTTTTTTTCCACCTTCCTCTAATGATCTTTATAAAAATAAGATTGTAAAACAAGTTATAAAAAAAGTCTCGCCTAAACTATATTTCGTAGGGGAAACAGCTTGATAGAATAGAACCAGGAACACCAATGACTCCATGCTTCAGTGCACACACAGTCGTTATCACCAGTTTTCATCAACATCACTCTCAATATTATATGTTATATATATAATGTAACAATCATTGAACCGGTTTGGATATATTTTTGAGTTTATTTGAATCTATTTAAATATTTTCCAACAATACAACTATCCAATCACCTTCATGTGATCAAATTTTTTTCATGAATAACATCCTAGCTAACCTCTTGTCTGTGTTGTATTTCTCCACAACGTAGCTTGATTTTCTTTTCATTCATTTCGTATGTCTTCTCAAAGTGTTCCTGTATCGTTACATTCATTTCTTTTGAAGATTCTTCAAATATAGTTTCCAATCTAAAGAAGTATATACCATATTCATTAAAAAGCATTAGTTAATAAATAAATTAAATAATACTAACAACAAACTATAATAATCATAATAATAATCATTTTCACTCATATGTACAGTCCATATGATGTTTACATATATTTTTACAATAGTAGTAGTAATTAATAATGATAATGATATTGTAACATTAATAATATTGACATATATCACCTCATATAAATATCTCCCCAATGGACCCAAGCTATATCCATAGCTTCATGCATGTTACACTAGTGATTCCAGGCATATCAAATTGTCATAACAGCTACTAAAATAATAATTATAACAATTATATACATTAAAATCAATATACAACTACAGCATATATAACTAGAGCAGTAACTCAATAGAGTGAAGCCTATACCTCCACCCTACATTCTCTGTGATTTATGCGTGCAAATTCTCTAACGCAGGGTAGGGTGCCATCTCGTAAAAATGATTACTTTTCAACTTTGACATCAAAAATAAAGAGGAAATCTCACGATTTCTGCATGCAAATTCTGTAGCAGCCATGTTACCAACTAGAACAATGTATGATGGGTGAAGCTGCAGCATACCCTCAAGAAAACAATGGAATCATCCATCATATTTGAGTACATTACTTTCTTGAGCCTTGCCTGAATACGAGGGGCAATAATTAAATTTCTGTGACTTTGCCCTTTTCTTTTGAAAATTGAATTCAAAAGAATGGTGCAGCAATATACTTGGTTGTTTTCAATCTGCGAGATTAGGCTCATTAGAATTTCTCTAGTCTCATAAATTTTTGAGGCAGTTTAAGAATTACTATTAATACAAAAAATGTTAATACTGCAAAAATCGTCATGGAAATCAAGGCATTTAGAGAAATTGGTAAAAAGGCAAAATGTTGCATTAGATAAGCTAGGCATAATTGCTTATGAATTAATCATATCCACTGGTTTTTAAATTTACATGTTGATTTCACCAAACAAAGTCTAGTAGGATATGCCCAATTCAGTAATTCGTTCAAATCAATTAGTATCTCTAATCAAATTTTAAGAGAGTTCAACTAACATCCACTGTTGACTATAGTTATCTCTTAATTATGTTAATATTACACAGTAGTATATGTTAGGCAGGGAGTTGTTAAAGAGAAAACAGATGACTGCCCCCTGATTTAGAGTGTATATGATGGATATTATGCCATGTTTGTATTATTTCCAGCTTTTAAAGTTATATCATATAAAATATGAAGACATAAAAGCATGCACAACATGCACTCTGTCAATTCCATAGACCTGGACAAGAAACTAATCTTAGTCTCACATTTGAGCAAAAAATTCAGTGCAGAGATCACTTCCTGACAGCAGACAAGATATTCCATCCTTTGACAAAAATTCCATGGGCAGGGGCCATGGCGACAGTTCACAGGAAGTGATCCAAGACGAGAGTTACTGTATGCGAGTATTTTAGGTTTTTATACATTTGTGGTTTTATGCAGCATATCAACAAAATGCTTATTAACGATTTTTTACAATACCAAATGCTGCTGTATAACTTTATTTTTTTGATCCCAGAATAAAACAAAATATAAATTGGAGAAATATGATGCACATGTTAATGTAATTTTATAGAAAGTAGTGTTTGTTGTTTAAAAATATAATAGGGAGCATTTAATTACCTACACAATTTTTTTATTTATTTATTAACCAAATCAACAGCAGACACAAATCCGCCACATACAGAATGGTACACAAGACAGGATACAGAAAACACTTAACTAATCACATCCAAGACAGTACGACGAAAAGTAGGCAAGTCAAAATTAAAAATATCAATATTAGGATAGGCCTGAACTAAGTTATTATAAGATATACTTAATCTACTAATAAACCCTTTTTTTAAAACATTAACTCTACTAAAAGGAATATTAAAAACATTGTTATTTCTTAAATTACGAACAGGAACACGGAGGCCAAAACAAGAAACTAAATTACAATCACAAATGGAATGCATACATTTAAATAGAAAAATAAGATCTTTAAGATATCTGCGGGACAGAGGTGAAAGTATAGAAAAGTGATAATCGTTATTGCAAGTATTTTTAGTTTTGCAATGACATGACCCTAGTATGCATTCACTCGGTGTGACTGCCCGTTTTTTCTGCAATCAGTAGTCTTAAAAACTACACTTCTTCGTTAAATTGACACAACTGAACTAGCTGGCCGCTAAATGTATGCGGTAGGATTTATATTACAAAAAACTTGCTTGTAATAAAAAAAATTACACCTGATACCGATCACTTCTGTAGAAGCCACTTTGTTTTGTAAATAATTCTCAACCATAATAACCATTGAATAATAAAATGAGACTTTAATTCAGGGGCAAGTAGAAATTGTGAGGGCAAACCAATTCCTAAGACTAGCTTGCCGGAAGGGCAACCAAATCTTACAAAATTCTGCGAGCCCTGGTGGAAACTGGTGTGATTACACAGAATTCAGAATTTTCAAAGACTCACCCAAAAAGAACTTGTTGCAGAAGCTTCAACGTCTTTCTATGAGCCTGCTGATGCCACTGCTCAAGTTCCTGTTCATTGATCGCTCCGTGATGGTGTTTCTCATGCAGCACCTCCATGTCAGTGTCATAAAACTTGAAGCAGTCCTGTACAGCCGACTGTTTCATGTCTTGAATGAATCCATGCCAGCGACTAGGGACCTGGTGGATTGAAAAAATTTATGAGATTAACAAAAATGCAATAAATGTCTAAGTGTAAATATTAGTAGTAATAATAATATTAATTGTGTGTTAACACCTCTCAAGTCCAAAGCTGAATAACATTCAAGCTGGCTTCAGTCTGGATAAAGGCCCCCAGTTTATTGAAAACACCGGAAATCATGTCTGGATTCACCGAAACTGGGCAATTGCAAGGCCAGCTTTGCAGGGGTCCTAATTCATGGTAGTTTCCCGGAAATCGGGACATCCCCCCCCCCCCCGCACACCAGACAAGAATCTCCTGGAAAATAAACCCATCTTCTGCAAATTCAATAAATCTGCATGTTTTTACTACTGTATTACTAGATGTGCTAAGACAAGCCGTTTTAACAGAGCTCTTGGATATGACTTCTTCCAACTTTGGAGTCAAACTCCTGTGTTTTGGTTTAATGTACCGTATATTTAAGCTGAAGTGCATACAAGTCAAAAAAACTGAAAGCACAATCATAGTTACCAACCTGAGAGATTTGAAATGCGTGACTATACATGGGGGGGGGGGGATCCAGGGGGGAACCGACGATCTGAGAATTTTTAAGCTTTTTAAAATGATTTCAGGGAGTGTTTGCTGACAATACTGGGTACATAAACAAAAATATTTTTAATAAAGCTCCGTGCAATTCAAGTTTCAATCTACAATAGGCCTATGTCTAATTTAAAGACCCGAACTATGTAGGCCTTCACAAACGTTTAAACGGGAAAAAGAAAATTTCTTGTTAAATTGATTCTCAAACAAAAGCTCTCTAATGACTCAAGTTACTGCATGACTGTTTATATATTTTTAATAACACCAATTTCATCTAATTTTAAATACAATTTCCCCTGAATTTGTGACAATTCATTATCATGCATAATCTTGTGCTAAATGCGCGACAAATTTATGATCATGCATGTGTTTCTGCAAAATGCATGTTTCATCCAACAACACTTTGAATAGCGGGATCATCCCGCATGATGCGAGAAGTTGGTAACTATGCACAATTTACATAACCGCACTAAGACTAACTATATTTAAACATATACTGTTTGTAATAAAATATGGAGAAAATATACTACATTTTAACTTTAATTAGTTAAAAAAAATCCTAACCTTTATATTGAGATTTTTATTTACAACCAACCTTTTTTTTTTTTATGGGATTTAAGGGTATCATTGGTCAATTGGTTCTAATTGACTTTCTAATTAATTTCTTCCTGACCTTTATATTGAGATTTTTATTTACTATATTTAAACATATACTGTTTGTAATAAAATATGGAGAAAATATACTACATTTTAACTTTAATTAGTTAAAAAAAATCCTAACCTTTATATTGAGATTTTTATTTACAACCAACCTTTTTTTTTTTTTATGGGATTTAAGGGTATCATTGGTCAATTGGTTCTAATTGACTTTCTAATTAATTTCTTCCTGACCTTTATATTGAGATTTTTATTTACTATATTTAAACACATACTGTTTGTAATAAAATATGGAGAAAATATACTACATTTTAACTTTAATTAGTTAAAAAAAATCCTAACCTTTATATTGAGATTTTTATTTACAACCAACCTTTTTTTTTTTTTTATGGGATTTAAGGGTATCATTGGTCAATTGGTTCTAATTGACTTTCTAATTAATTTCTTCCTGTTGAGTTCCTGTAAATTGACCATTAGAATGCATAAAAGAATTCATCCAACTCTAATATACCTTGATTAATTCCAAAATACAGTTCATCTACACATAACCCTAAATTAGGATACATTTCTTTTATGTATACATGCATAAAAATTAAATTATGATTGTCAAATTAACAGTAGCACATTCCGGAAAAAATATTTAGTCAATTGAACAAAAGAGTTCATTATTTAGCATGGTACTCATAAATACTTCAACAGCAGGTTTAATAAATAATTTTATTTTATAATAAGTCAAATAAGGTGTAAGGATTAAGTCAGGCACACTTTTATTAATCAATCAATCGAATATCTATGTTGACATAAATACTACAGTAGATGTACTAGTAGCAGCTTCACTATAAAGAGATGCCAGTGTCAACAACACCTGATATGCACCTACCTGTGCAAGGGAGCCCTCGTTAGCTGCTGTCACCAATATGTCAATCAATGAAGCCAGTTCTGGGCCTGTCATTGGACGATCATTTTTGCCCTTTGGTATTATTCCGTCTTTCAATTTCTGCAAAAGACTATCTCGCTCGTTCTTATATTCAATGGTTAAATCATCCTCTCTTGCCTGTTGACACAGATAACATAACAAAATATCAATTAACATTAAGTCTTTTGATATGCTTACATGACCAACAAGATGTAAAAATAATGCTGGGCTTTACAAAAAACACATACTCAGCTCCATTGGGGGGGGGGGGGGGTTATACCAACATTTCTGCCAGTAATCAGTACATATTTGCCAAGTCCAGTACTAGTAATGAGTTACCCACATACTCCTGGAGAATAGCAATCATTGGCAAAATGCCTTGCAAGGATGCAGCAACAGTTTGAACATCTAAACTCAAAGTTGAGATCTAGAATCATAACAGCTGTGTCAACCTCTCCCACATAAATATAAATTTGATGATGATAATATTGTTAAATTGGTATAATTGAAGACAAAAAATAAATAATGGTAAAAATGTTGAATATTTCTAAAATTCTAGAAATTGTGGTGGCCCACATGCTTATATTTTGGAAGAGTTTCGTATGACAAATCCATAAATATAGAATTGTCCATAATTAATGTGTTAAATAGTGTATTACATTTGATTTTTTGTAGTATACATATGAAAACAAATTCAATAGTTTTGTAATAATGTAATAATAGAAATAAAAAAGAAGTATAAAATAAAAACAGTGGTTGCTGGACTAACCTGTGATAAATCTTGTAAGAGATCTTTCTTTGTTGCAGGAAAGAAGAGTGTGTGGCAGTTAACAGATTCAAAGACATCAAGTAAACTGATCCTATGGTCTTCACTTTCCCAAGTCGAGGAGTCCATCATACCTTCAAGCCACTCTTTTGGAGACATGTCATCACCAATCGCTTGGACAAAGTCTTGAACCACCTAGTTACACATTTCATTTTTCGTATCCACTCACAGAATCATTCTTTCATCCAACCCTGGGAAGTTATAGTGGGCGGGGGCCACCCAGCCTTGAAGTTTTCCACCCAGTCTAAAGCTAATTCCATCGCCTTCCACCCACCCTTATTAACCCACTTTTCCATCCTTAAAATCTACTCGTATTATCTAGAGTTTACCAATGTTATTACACAACCACCCTCAAAATATCTATCCCCACCCTTAGTTTTCATTAGTTACAGCCCTGCCAACCATACATTTATTCAATCACCCTTTAATTTATTCATTAATTCATTATACTTTCATTCATCCATTTATTCAATCAATCAATGAATCCATCTGTCCACCCATCCAGTATTCATTCATTCTTCTAATCATCAATTCATTCATTCATTTCATAGAAGATTTCTTGTACATAGGCAGTATACATTAACATAGTTAACACATAATATTGTGGTACCGTGGTGTGACAGACAATCAATACATCAGAATACAGAATATTTACATTTTTAACAAACATATATTGGTAAATGAAGGCTCAGTTAGAAGGTTTGCAATTAAATGAATTCAAATTATACTAACCCACATTAGAGGAGGGAAAGTCAAAAGATCATGATTAAAGTCGTTTGCCCATTTAGCACGTGACATCTGAGACCGAAGCGCAAAAAGCTGAAATTTGAGTAAAGAAAAAACACATTTCTAAATTAACAAATTATTTAAAACTGCTACATGTTTATTCAAAACTTATTATGAACATAATTATGAATTAATAAACGAAAATAGAGCAGGTTGATTGGTAATTATAGAAATCATCCAACAGTGTAGTTAACTATTTAATTGGAATTACAAACAAATATGAAATTAATTGATGATTCTAATGTTAACATTTATCAATTTAATACACATTGCTATGTAAATGAATCATCCCAAACGTTAATCAATAAGGAAATCACCACCATCATTATTATTAAATCTTTCCGGCTCTTGACATCATACTATAAACGCCAGATAAATTTCTGTCATATGGACCGTGATGCGCATATGTAAAATAGAATATTCAGGAATAAAGGACAGGTAGGGTAAGTTTTTTAAATTATTATTCCTGTGCTGTTTGTTTTAGGATTTCCGTCATTAATTATTCTAGGAAACAGAACTTATCTATTTTAACCAGTGGTAAATATTACCTTATACGCGAATGACAAAATGTTACACAACACATGTGCTATGAAAAATGTGTCCACTGCAGTACAACGTCTGTGTAAATGAGCATTTGTGTAAGATCAGCATGACACTCGTGTTAAGGAAACAGGGAATGCTGAAGCCTGTAACACTGAATAGTGTGTATGAGCATCTTTGCTCTGGTTTTGCGTGTATAAAGAATAGTTAGTTTTTTTAATAGTTTGATTTAAAAATGTTCCATTTTTCATTTTGACGATGAAAAAAACAAGGGTAGAAAAGTACCTGTGTTCTTCTTGCCAGAAGTTCCAAGTAGTCCATATCAGCCTGGTCAATGATCTTCACAGAGTTGTAGATAAGATAGGAGCTGAGTAAAGTTGCCACAGCGAAGATCTTTGCATCATAACGTTCTGATACATTGTTAGCAGCAAATCCTTAAAAAAAACAAATTAAAAAAAAATCATTTTTGTAAAAGGAAAACAACAACAAAGACAAAAAATATAAAAAATATATTGAAATAGAATATTTAAATTTAAAAAAAAAAAAATTACTAAATGTGAATTTATAATCCATTTTTTGGCGTTCTATATCATCTTTGCAAATGATCTTTGGAAAAAACCTTTTCAAATTAACAGGGTGAAGTGTAGTGGGATAGCTCGATGAATAAGCCAGAGGAGGTAGTTCACAAAATAAGGTGATTTTTAACTACTATTTTGCAATGGACATTATCAATGGAGAAATGACTGGGGGACTCAAACTTTTTTTGGTGGGGGACATGCATCCCCTGCACACCCCCTAGATATGGCACTATGGCTAGCAAATTGAAAAACATCAATTTTACTCACCTTCAGTATCTAGAAATATTAATGATATTTTCTGACCACTGGACAATGTCACTGGTAGTGGCTACATAAAAAAAAACAAAATGTATTCACTTGTCAATACACGCCGATTTATATTAACCAGTAGTGACTGACCAGTGTCTTCACCTAAATATCACAATTAATATATTTTTATATAATATCACATGATCAATTGGTGTGATTAGACAAGCTAAGAAGTTAACCCAGTCAAGGAGTTCCTTCAACAGTCGGACCCAGCACATATTTGGATGCTAGCAGACTGCCTCTGGGATAGGACTGGCATCAGTAGGAGGAACAAAACTAAACTATACTGATATGTATAGAGATTAATCAAACGTTGTGTACAGTAATACTTACAATTTACTATAAATTTACATAAGCCCAATTCTGTCTGTCTGCTTATAGACTTGAAAATTGCTCAACGAACCTTCAAATTTTGGATACTGTTAGAAACGTATTGTATTAGTCGAGCGAGTAGTAAAAAAAAAACGTCTAAAACCACTGACAATCTGTGATTTGGCGGCCTGTTTTTCGTTAGTTGTTTATGTTTGATAAAAACTACAGCATCATCTCGGAGCTAAACTGCAGTCCTCAGGTCTACAAAATACTTAGAGCGCGAAATATACAGTAGCATTAATGCGGCTGGCGATAAAAACTACAGTACCACAGCTGCCCTGCTGAACCGCAGTACCCAGTATTTTGTATTTATAATACGCATGATACTGATAGTATTTGGTAATTTAAATATACTTGTAATTATAGTAAGATAATAATAGTGAGAAAACCACATAACAGCATGACTGTTAAAAACTGAAAAACAACAGCTATAAAGTAGTGGACAATTTTTCATTGGTGATTACAGTGGGAAAACCACACAAATGACACCATCAAGCTACTGGTATTTTCTAGTTAGTATTTCTCCTGAAGACGATTGAAGCAACTCAATCGAAACGTCGAGACTTTCTCAACTACAACAGTTCTTTTCAGAACTACCTACACTACAGTACATGGTGTACTGCAAACTTTAACATATATATTATTAATAGTGTTCATTACTATATATTTTTGAGTCATCTTCACCTTAATTGTTATTTGCATGATAATTATCTTTGCAATTTTTCACCATTTTATCAAGAACTGCATTACATCTTATCACTATACAATAAAAATGCAGATGACTGCTGTCAGTAAACCGAAGCCTACCTTTCCCCACATCCATATGCCCATCGTTTCTGGTTTGACGAAGGGTCCGATATTGAATCCGAAACCCTGACGTTTGCCCATCAGTTGATTTAGAAGAAAGGATTTTCCAGAGTGGTACTTGCCCACAATGGCAGCAACGGCTACCGGTCCTTCTATCTGATACAATGTCTGTGTGGATATAAATAAAGGCATTGTTAAACAAGTGAGGGAGTGATAGAAGTTGTTGCTGCTCCTAGCATTCAACACTGGGCAATAGCTGATACATGGATTCCCTTATTGTAAATGATTCAAGACTGAATGTATTGTCTCTCACAAAATGAAGAAATTACAAGCTTGTTATTACATTTTAAAATATAAGGCCTAATATAGTAATATTAATAATAATAGCAACAATAATCAATACCTATTACTATACCAACCCACATTTAAAATCGATTGATTGACAATGGATAACTCATTTTTAAAATCCTACCTTCACAAAATCATGATTTAAAATCAGCTGTTTGTGTTCAATATCTGGTTTGACAAGCTGAAGTGGTTCATCTCTCAAATTCAGATTCTCGTCTGCACATAAACTACCTGAAAATTTAAAATAGGATTCGAGCATAAAATTGCCGTTGGCTAGGCCCTATGTAATTGGCCTGAGTCGTCTCAGAGTCTGTTCTACAGTTTAAGGCCTGACACTGAGTGACTGTGCAGTAGGCCTACGCGCGAGTCTAGGTCATCTAGGCCTGCCTAGGCTACCCGTACGCACCACGTCCTATCGTATAATAATTAAGCTAGCCAATCCTTCCAACCTACCTAGGCCTAGCTGTATTTTTCCTAAAAAACATACCATGTGTCATACTAAAAAGTAATTAATGTAGGCCTTGTATTGGCTAACAGTACAATATAGGCTCAGAAACTTACTGTTCAAGAATAATAGTGTTATGATGACAGCACAAACCCACGAAATTTGTTCTCTCGCCATGCTTGTATCGTCGTCGCGTCGACAGATCGAAACAGAGGTTAAAGCTCGCGCGCCTGTGAAAAGTTACCAAATAACCAATCAGAATGGAATATTTAGTGCACATGACACGCCACACCGGACAAAATAAACCACCACCGGACAATTTCTTAAGTACAGCTCTTTGTATATTTTAATAATCTTTGAAAGATATTTATATTATATAAGTTAATAAGTGAATTAAAAATGTAGTTATATATTGGTAAATATCTGAGACCTGAATTATTATTAACATATTACAAGGATATGTTCTACTATCGAACTTCTTTGGTCCAATGAAACCTGCATAATTTATGTAGGCCCTAAATTATTTATTATGTGGAATTTTTTGTTGTCAAATTTAAATATGTAAATTTTATTAAAGAAAAGTCGTATACAGTTATCCAGTCATACAGGATCTAATGCCATTAATGTAAACATGTAGTTTTATAATGTTACTTTTTGTCCAACAATGACTTCATTCCTAAGCCGAGTGGGTAGTGTATTACATTTTCAGAGCATGCTTCCTGTAGCATTGAGTCACTTCTTGTTGGATAAGAATGGAATGAAAAAAGCCACACAAAAGCAAACATTTTATAACAGCAACAAGAAAAATTCATTCATACATGTTGAGAAGTATTTTATTGTAAATATTATAGACAACTTTCTTGAATTTCAAACTTCCATTGTTGATGTATACCATATTGCCTAAAAAAAAAAACCTTAAAGAATATTGTTGTATTTTGTAATCTGTTATGGTGGGAGCCACACCCACTTCAATGCTGGTTGGACAAAAATCACAAAACAGAAAACAATCACATGACATTTCTAAGGACCTATGCTATTTACAACAAGCAAGGTGACCTACTAACAAGAATATGGGGGTGGGGGGAAGGGTCTACAGTGGCATACACTTTTATATTTTTTTTTTTATATTTTCTTATCTTCTTTTTTTATTTGGTACGAAAATAGTTTAATACAATTCTACCAGGAAATCCAACCCCAGTATACAATGTTCTCTCATAAGGAGTTGTACTGTATAAACAAAAGAGAACTTTTCAACTACTTTACTAATATCAACTACTGTAAACAAACCTTAAAAAAAAATTCTTTTAACTATTGATATTGCTTTTAAATTTAACTTATAAAACAAAGCTTGTAACATCATTAGTCACACTGCTGCACTGCGCTAACCACAAAATAAATTTATTTTTAATTGTTATCAGTGCCTGTAATTGAAACTGAAATATTTTACTATTGAGACCTGGGTATAGAATAGTCGAAATAGAGCAAAGACAAAACAAATGGAATGGACAACTACTAAAATAATAAAGTAGTTTTATGAGATGTGGGGGTGGAGAATTGAATGCAGAAAGCGATCTGGGAAAAGAGGAAGATATGAGAAAGTACAATCACATACAGAAGAAAAGTGAGTTATAAGAAAAAATTGGTCATATCTTAAAGGGAATTAGAATTTTTGAGAGAATAATGAAATATGAATGAAATGGAGAAGGCAAAGTGCATGGAACGGGGCGATAGATGATCTGAAGGCAGCGATAGATAATCTGAAGGCAAACAAGCCTTATGTAGAACTAAAGAGAAGCACAGAAGACCTGTCTTTGGAGAAGGCATGACACTCCTAACTGTAGAAAATAAATTGCTTCAAATGATTAATAAAACCCAAATTTTAAAAAATGCATATTACGACCTGTGTATCCAAGGAATTTTGGAAAAACTACCTTTCACTTAAAAATCACAATGTTATGGTACGAAGTTACAGTATTAACTTATTGTTAGTGAATACACAGACAGCCAAAAAAAAAAAATACATTATGCTGAATTAATTTTGATCAATAATCCAATTAATACATTGCAATAAATTACTACTGATATACTTAAAGGTACAACTTAAAGAGAATTGATTACAAATTTGTATAAAGTTTGTAAACAATGGAACATTGCATTAATCAAAGCTAGACTAATCCAATCTAAAGACAAAAATGAAATGAGTGGCCAGACTCGAACCCCAAACCTTTCAATTGAAGACTGGCACTTTACAGCTTGTTCATGTTCCTTCTTTTCAACTCTTTTTTTCTCGATCTAACACTACTAGTATTACTCCAAATTTAACACAAGACTATACAACAGCTTTTAACCAAAGGCATTAACATGACAGAAAATCAGTGAGTTATAAATATGTACAAGCGGGCTATTAATACGGTAATAATTAGTATTATCACCCAACGCTTAATACACTTAAAATAAATGAGACAGAAATTTTGAGTGCAGTACAAATATGTGAAAACAATTATATAAAACAGAAACAATAATGAAACTATTAGGGGGAAGTAGAAACACACTGAAGAAGAAATTGCTATATCTGTAACATTGTGAAACTACTTTACAATGGCTCAATGATTATTAACATCCACCACTGTATATATTCTACACTACCTATGGTATTACAATAGACAAGACAATGTCAATAACTGCAAGACAATATTTCTAATAAAATGTCGCATCACCAACTATGTCGTCTAATTGTAAACACCCACAAGATATTATATTTTAATGCTTGCTATCATCTTGTTCCCATTTGATAAGACACCACTTCCAAGTTTATTTTCATTAAAAACATCTCGATTGTTAAAATAAATACATTTATTGTTTTTCCCTCTTTCTTGGATGTTTGTCTTTCCCAGTAATTTACGCTTACTTTTACACATCTTCTTTTAATGTGACAGTTGTATTTGAATCTAAGCAATGTTACTTGAATTGATTTTAATTGATAAACAAAAAGTATCTTGAAATTGTATACAAGACATTTTAGAGCCAAATAACTAAATAAAAGTTTTATTTTTATATAAAATGCTAGCATAATATGGTACTACCATGAAAACATACAAATTTACTTATTAATCTAGGAGCATTTTTCTTGTATTATACAAAATTGCAATTAATACGTAGGGATGAAATTCTGTGTACCGTCATTTAAATTTTATTATATGAAATAAACCTTTTTGTTTTTTAAATGAAGAGTATATTAGAAATTTATTTTTTTATTTTTTTTTTAGAAAGGAAATGTTATATAAATATAACAGAAATATGAATCATATTTTTAAAAAATTCCCATGGGAAATTTTTTTTAACTTTAAGAGGACTATAATTTATATGTGACAATTAAAAGACTGTACAGTATACCTCTTTGTGACATTAAATGTCTCTATTCATTCTTGTATTCTTTACACAAACATTAACAATAATAATCAATCAACTACATAATGAGAACAAGAAAAACAACAAGTCTTTTTCATTTTTTTTTTTTCGATTTTCTTTTTTTTTTACACATGTTTTTTTTATTCAGTTTTTAATTATATCTTATTTTCTTTCAGGTTACAAAAATTTGGAAAAACAAAACATTTTAGCAAAAAATGAAGTTTAAAAACATATTTAAAATTATTGTTAAAATAATGGAGAATATTGGAGAGTGTGGAGGTTAGGAATTGTGTTGGCCAGCAATCAAGGTGATGAAACTAAGTTTAATTGTATAGAAAATAAATATTGAATCATTTTTTCAGTGTTTCATGGAAATTATTAGGATGGTTTAACAGTATGTTTGAAAAAATCAGGAGGAAAATTATAAGACTGTACATTAAAATTGGCAGCGCTATCAGATACCATTGTATATTTTTATACACATTGTTAACACGAGTGGTGTACACATTAGTGCAAGACAAAATTTAGAAATATGAATATAAATAATATTAAGATTCTATCAATATTAATACATGTACAAAAATTAAATTGTATTATGTTCTATATCATCAACACACATAATTTTGCTCAATAATGAATAATTATCTTGTTCCTTTGCCTAATAAATAGTTTATACAAAATCATTATCTATTAAATGATACCTAAAATGATATGATTGTGCATATTGAATTAATTGGTTGACTTTTATGCGAATGGAACTTTAAAGATATCATTTTTGTACAGTTTTTAATAACTATTTAATTAAACACACAAGTAGAAATTAGATAACTGGATCTGAAGCAAATGAAAATAGAGTTTGACTAACTTTTATAGCTGTTGTTGATTCATCATGTGTATAGTTCCAAGCACAAAAAAATATACCTTAAAGTGGATCACCACTCAGTATGTGACTACATGGTTACATGTTTGCTAACCTCATTCCAATTATAGGGATTCATATATAGTATTACTATTTTCAAAAACAATGCCTTTTGGAACAGCAATTTCTTTAGTTTAAGCTTGTTTATTCCACATAACCCAGACTGCTATCATCTGCCTACGTGTCAGTACATGCAAATATGCGTTTATTTGGATGTTTGTACACATAAACAATTCTTCTCTCTCTCTATAAATTATATATTTAGCTCATTGTTAAATTAACTAATTTAAACAGTAAACCAATGTCTTATATAAATATAATACATAGCCATCTGAAATAACAACTGCAATTCTTTTTCTCCTCATATCAGGTTTCTTGTCAGCACCTTCACGAAAGACTTTTCTATCATACGACAATGTCATGACAGGGTCTGGGGAAGCACCCCTACTCCGAAAATTCTTCCACAGAGCATCAGTAAAACAGAGCACCTTTTCAGTAAATTCACATGTATCTTGTAGTCAATAGGATTTGCTTGGAAAGAAAGTTGAAAATTGTTTCAGCCTTGTAGTATTTAATCCGCCAATAAATATTATTTCACATCAAAACATCTGTTCAAAATCTTTCATGACTTCCATTTGCGCATTCATGTCGATGTTACCGGCCATAGCTTCACGTTTCCTCCTTTCTTGTTCTCTTAGACGTTCCCTTTCTTTTATTGATTGTTGACGCTGCATGCTATCTTGCTGTGATTTACGAGCCCTATCAAAGGCTTCCTCCTCTTCTTTTTCTCTGGGGGACAACAAAAAAAAACCATGCATTTTCCTCAACAGTTAAACAAACATATTTATAGATAATATCCTACTACTTACTACATTTAATATATATTATTCTTTTAAGCACAAATTGGTACCCCACTCCATTCCCCCACACACCATTCATTACTTAAAACATGTTTGTTAATAGATAGGGAAGTCATGTAATATAAATGTAATGAAGTTGTACATTTTAGGTATAGATAGTTAATGAACATATCAGCAATAATATTAAATTTGTTAATTTCAGACCTGACAACATAAATTACAGATTTTCTGCAAATATTAACTCAACTGTCAACTCTGTCCAGGTTACATGGGAACACATTAAACATTTTTAGTATGTATGAGATTATATTATTCAATACAAAAAAAAGTTTGTTTACATAACTCACCTTAATTTTTCCCTCTCCTGCCGAATTCGATCTCGTTCTGCTTGTTGCTTCTGTTGCTTCCGTAATTCTTCCTGATAAATAAACTGTTTTTGCTAAAAATGGAAAAGAAAATCATTTTATATTAGGAACACTTAGAATGCTTGCGCTTACTTTGAACTTAAGCACAGGAGCATCACTCTACAGTAGCGCTAATTTCAATATATGTATTGAAATTTCAAAATTTAATGGCAAAAGAGAGGGAGGGAGTGGGGGTCCACCCCTGCTCTAAGACCTTGGCAGGAAAGATAACATTTGAGCAGAACTAATGTGGAATAATTGTGCAGAAGTACACACAAGAACATAGTTTGACATGGACTGCTTCTAGTATCTTATGCTAACTTTGAGGGACATAGTCTGGTGTGGACTTTGTCTGGTACGTGTAATAGTTATGCTACTTATAAATCAGCATAGTCCAGCATTGACATCATTAAGTATGTGTTAAGCTACCTATTGAGAAACCGGCTGATGTGGATATTGTTTGGTGGAGATAATGCCTTCTTCCAAATTATTCTGCATTCATGGATTGGAGTTAATGCGTAAATATAATATTTATTTCATATTTCTGGACATTTTTGGGGGTATATGATCAATTCACATGATAGATTACATCTATAGGATGCCATAGAAACAAAAATCCAAAAATCTCAAAAAGTGGAGATAATGCCTTTTTCCAAATTACGGCAGTATGTGTTAAGCTACCTATTGAGAAACCGGCTGATGTGGATGGTGTTAAGTATTTGCTTCGCAACCTACGGAGGAATATAGCTAATAGTGTGATGGTTTTAAGTTTTTGTTACCTATTATAGTCTAGTGTCTATTACGTTACATACTAAGGGACACAGTATTTATAATGTTAAGTACTTAAAGGTTAAAGGTTATGTATTTATACTGCGAAAATACAAGTCTCTATGGGCAAAAACAAGTGAACAGATGTAATTGGAAAAATTTGTAACGCTTCTTATTGAGGAATAGTGTCCTGCGTGGACGGCAATAATATATTTGTTAAGCTATCGATAAGCTATGGCTTTTTAAAAACTTACTCTTTCTTTCTTTTCAATAGCTTGCTTCTTGAACATTTCGAAACTTGCTTTAGATGATGAGGTCTTGACTGTGTTCTTTGAATTCAAGGTTGTAGCCAGGTTAGACCAAGAGTTGACATTAGGGATGCGAACATCCTGTAAAATAAAACAATTAGCAAATGTTGATAAGCTAGAAAATGTTGCCACATATAAAAATGATGTAGACTAGAAATTGCAAGTTAAGTGCTGCGAAGTACAACTGCATATAAATGTTCTTCAAACAAAATATGCGAGTCAAGTGAAAATAATGAATAATAAAAATATAACAAATAATATGAGACACAACCCATTGTCTATATTAGAACACTTCTCATTGGGTAACAAAGTCGTAATTTTTCTTTTTTGTCAAAAAGTGTCTATAGTGGTGAATTATGGTTTAGGTTTTTTTTAATAAAGTTTCAAAAATGTCTATGTATGTGGAAAATGTAGTTGATTACCAAAGGTTACAATTTTTATTTTGAAGACTGNNGACTGCATGGTCTAGGAAGTGTACATTTTTTTATGGGGCAAGTTTCCAAGGGCGGGTTTTCTAGGGGCGAGTTGACTGCCAAAGAGTGTTGCCAAAGTGCGAGCCAGCGTGTTATTTGATCACAAGTTCGAGACATCGCAAGTGTGAACCAGCGAGCCATGACGTCACGACAATAGATACGAGACGTTACTCGAGTTGTGCGAGGTATCGGCTGAGATTTGTGGAGTACAATTCAAAACACAACTATAGGTCTGTATACATTTGAAACAATCCAGTCATTGTCTATTCCACCACGACAATGAGTATTCAGTACATTTCCACATCAGGTAGGGCAAAATTACATCTATACACGTTTCTCCTGACGTAAAATCTAGTTATTGTCTATTCCACCACAACAATAACAATTACTATCAACACTGCAGTACCTGCTGCTTACTTGGACTCAAATTCAACCCTGGCCATCAGGCGCAAGCTCTGTGGTCTAGAGGTATGATGCCAGGCTAGTGATCTAGACATCGTGGGTTCGAGTCCCACTTGAGAACAACTTGCGATTTTGTTCGGAATTGTTTTTAAAATGTACAGAGTATTTAGTACATTTCCACGTCAGGTAGGGCAAAATTACACCTATACAATCACAGCATTGTTGCTCAATGGATGCCATACCTTTTTCTGACCTGGTGTATCAAGTTTCTTCAGATTTTCAGAACTGCTACTTGTGGACAAGGTACCTACAAAAGAAAAGGTGGAGATGGTTATGTGAACTACAATTAAAAGTGACGAAGATGGTGACAAAGGCGGTTTTGGTATTATGATGTTACGATGGATGATGAAAGAGGTAATGATAAAACCTATGATGATAATAATTATCATGATTAGGACTAGAAGACAAATGTTAAATGCGATGAGGTTGTTAAAGATGGTTAATGATTGATGATAATTAATATGACAATGATGATGATACTATTAATGTGGACAATATCAGAACATATCCATTTTTATTATAACAATCAATAATCATTACTAATGAAATTTATATAGAACATAACTTAAAAACATAATCGTTTGCTTTCTACAACGCATGCCGATATTAGGCACAGATGCTGTTGACAATGGCAAAGATAAATTAAAAAGCACAATTTGAACCATACTAAAACATAATAACTCTCCCTGTAAACACTACAGGGATTTTTTATTCCGTGAATCCAACCGAGGCCCTTTAGTTTTCGGACTCCTTTGTTGGACATGTCGGAACTACTTATTGGCAAATTTCTGGAGCAACTGCTGGTTACACTTACCAGTTTTATTGTTTGTATCCTCTTGCACTTGAGGTATAGTTCTTGGCTGTGATTTTGTTACATCAACATCTCCTATTGTGAATTTTACTGGCGATGGTTCTTTGGATCTGTCCGGTACCATCCGTTGCTTTTTTTCTGGCGGAGGTGCAAGCGAGGAACCTGACATAGATCGCACCTGAGTCTTTTGAACTGCTTGTGGTTGGGTAGGAGTGACTGGTTGAGTGGCATGCGGCAGCTGCGCTTTCTGGTGGGAATTATTGTGATGTATGACAGGGCTCTCTGGTGACGACATAAGACTATCTTCCGATGAGATCTGGGCCGAGATTGGTGATTGCTGTCTGTTCCTTGGAGGCGTTGCTCTCCGCTGAGACACAGGTGGCTTACTCGTACCTGGATATTGCCGTTTATTTACTGCAGAAGGCTGCACTGGAGTTGAGGTTTGTTGGACAGGATGAGGTGGTGGCTGATGTTGGATGTGGTTAACTTTGGGTTGGTTGAGTGTTGATTGCATGGGCAAGTCTGGACGAAGCACCGGCGACACGGGTAAGACTGGTTTTGGTCCCGAGTTCTGTCTTGTCCGCATATGACTCGGTCCTGACTGTGCAAGCAGGTTACCATGTTGGGAAGTAGATACCTGTGGTTGCCTCATTGTATGCTCAGATGTATGGTGTTGTGTAACAGGTATTGGAAGTTGACTTGCAGGTAAATAATTTTGTATTGTAGGAGCCTGATATGGCAACACAGGTGGTTGTGATACAGGTGGCTGCGTTACAGGTGGCTGTAATGCAGACGGCAGTAGTGAAGGTGGATTAAGTGCAGAAGGATGTTGTGTTAAAGGCATCGCTGATTGTTGTTGCTGATGAACTAAAGTCCCTCTTTTATGAGATATTGCCAAAGAAGGATGAACTGGTTCTGGTGTTGTTACTTCAGGAGATTGTGGAATGGCCTGAGCTGAAGGGTTGACTGGAATTGGAGGACCTGCATATGGAGGTGATGATACAGATGGAATGGAGGTTCGGTTTTTAACAGGAAGAGGAGCGGCTTTGCTGGATGGTCTGCTAGGCATGGCAGGCATAGTACGATGAGACATTGGAGCTGGTTTTGGTGCTACAAAGAGATCAAAACAAAGGTTACAATTTTTGAAATTTCTTTCATCAAGAACAATTCTCCGCAGACTCATTGACAGCCATTCTCATCATTCAGATACAAGAGAAGAAGTTAATTTATAGCATAAGCACAATCTTTATAATTTGTACACACTTGGTGACTATGTTTTATGTGTTATTCAGTACTGATCATTAATTATTCTGCCTCCTATCTTTTTTCTTTGTTCATCAATCTTTTGTATATATGGTGCACATTGAGCAGGTCCTTGTTTATGATAAATGTGCATTATAAATAAATTCATAATATTATCAGTAATGTGTCAGTGTGCAGATCTGCCAGAGCAAAGCAAACCAGAATAAATAAATTACAAAAACCAAAACAAGTAAATGCACAATCAAAATTAGTGAATTAAGAAACATTAAAATTTTGGTTTTTTACTATTCCCATATTATATATGGTATGGAATTCTGCTGAAGGCTTACTTGCCAAGGGGTTTAAAGATGTTATGTGAAGGTACATGAATATTAAAAATATACTCACATATACACACACATATCCACACACCCACAAAGACCACGTGTACATGTAGCATGGAAATGGCAATGTTCCTACTAGCTACTATAATATGCTAGGAACCAAAACGGTAATCTTCTATAACTTACGTGTCTTTTCCCTTGGTGGTTGATGTGCCGCTGGTTGAGTGACAGTTTTTTCTGGTTGATTGACAGCTGTCCCTGATGTCAAATCACCTACTGAAAGAGTTGTATTCTGTTGAGTAGTCAGCTGTGGGAGCAAAGATATATATATTGAATAAAACCACTACATTTGATATAAAAAATACTCAAAATATTTAATAGTACTGTAAAGATATTTTTATGATTAAATATGGAAAGTGTAATAAGGAAAACATAGAAAATGATATTCAGTTTATTTCAAATGTACATTGTTGAATTTGTATTTTTTGTTTAATCCATTTTTGTGCCTTCATGCATAAGAAATGAAAGAAGGTTGAATGTGTTTGACCATACTACAAATGGAAATAAATGAAAAAAATAACAATAAATAAATAAAACAACAAAAAAATGATAAGAAAAATGATAAGTAAATAATATAAACAAAATTAATAAATTAAATAATTACTAGTCAATTATCTAAAAATCTAACCTGTTTTGAAGCATTTCGCCGTTTAACTGGAGTCAGCTTCTTTGATTTCTTTTTAGGTGATGGCCCTTGAAAAAAAAAAAAAAATCGATAGTGAATTTAATTTATTATCTCTACTTTACCTCATATGATTATGTGTACTTGTGATTTGAACTTCCATCAGTGATGGTTTCTGAAAATTAACAACAGTGATCTAGCAAGTGGGACAATGGTCCAAACTGTCGCTACAGCGTTGTCAGTGCAATCGTCGTACTGCATAGCAGTTGCTGACGCAATCAGGAAGGCTCCCCGATTCGACCAACCAATTAGCATCACCGAAAGCTGTCAGCGGTAGTGTGTAGCGATTGTATGAGAACCAAGCTTAATCAAAATTGTCATTATGCTTTCGTGTAACCAAAAGTTTGAATTCCATGTGTTTCCAATTTGAATGTTATGGCCGTTTGCATGGTGAATAGAATTAAGCCACAGTTCAAAAGGTCGACTAAGCCTCGGTCAACGGCCCGCAATAAAAACTCCCTTGTAAGCTTCACAGAGAGAGTTTGTACGGCTAAATTATGGTCCACAATGTGCTTTTAAATCATAATATTGGGGATTGGCAATCAAAATAACGTTAGTTGGAAAGGCAAATTATTATTCTTTAAATTTTTATCTGACCTAGTCGTGCGTAGGATGACATGGGGGTCCAGGCCTGTATGACGGTTCAGGCCTGTATGACGGAGGGAAAATGCCCCTCTCCCCTTGGCACCACCACTAAGTTTAGTTTTTTAACTAAACACATTGACCAGTGAAATGGCCGAGCAGTAAAGGCAGGGGTGCTGCAACGTACAACTATAATATTGGCTCTTGTTGGAACGGCATGCTTGCCTACGGTTCTGGTCGTTAAACAAGCTTTCTCGGATAAAAGCTATAAACTGTTGGCCCAATGTACATAATTTGGCTCATCTGCACTTTAAAGAACCCAGTACATTTCTCCAAACCAGTAGTGGGTTACCTTGGGGTACTGCCTGTCCACACCTCAAGCACTTTATAAATCTAACTAAATTACATTACATATGGACAACTTCCAATAACTATTTCTAGCTATCAACTGGAAGTTGTATAGCAATAATTACACACTATCATACGTAATGAGAGGTGGCATATCTAGTAGTCTTGAAATGGGTTTGCTGATGGGTGGGGAAGCACAAAGCTAAAGTTGGGGGGCCCCATTAATAAGTTGAGGGGTGCTTACTCGCAAAATAAGGTGATTTTTAACTACTTTCAAATGAATTTTTTTTGAGGAAGGGGGATAACTGGGGTAGCATGAGTAATTATTGGAGGAGCGTGCGGCCACCCCCCACCCACCCTAGATACGCCACTGCAGTAAAGTGTATATCAACAAATTGTTTCTATTACAAAAACATGCCTTAAGAGCAATATCGCACAATTTGTATCTGTGTCCAACTAAACCATTATTTCTGAATGTATACAAAATACTGCTCATCGTGAAAACAACAACTATTTCCAGAAACAAATATGATTTCCTAAATCTAGTAAATAGAGTTAAAACTGTGTTGTCTTCAGGTCCAAAAGTATGGAATGATCTGCCTTATCATGCCAAATGTGCATATACCATGGTACAGTAGACTCTTGAAGGTCTGTTATTGTAAATTAATGTGTATATACTTACAGTATGTACATGTACTAGTTCACCATGAAAAAAAATTCAGTACTTTCAATGCCTACCGGATTTACCTTTTATGCATTTTTCTCAATTGTTTCATTTCATTTTTCTGTTTCCATGCTGTGTGGGTGTGAGTTCTACATTTTGTTGTATACCCTCCATCTGCATCATTTATCGTATTGTATCATACATTTAAACCAGTTATTGTATCTTAAAAAAGCTCGTTTGCCAAGATAGGGGGTCCAAACTAAGGGGCCGACTAGAGACTCAGCCAGGGCCCCGGGAAAAAAAATCATTGGCAGGGTTCATGGTAGAGTTTTATGGATTATTGGTATGGCCAAAATTTTGCTTTTAGACCATAATATTAGGGATTGGCAATTAAAATTACGTTATTTGGATAGGCAAATTATTACTTTGATTCAATGATCTTGTCGTGGCATCAGACAAGGGGGGTTCAGAGCTGTCCGTCAGGGCACACTTCTCAAGTACTACAGAATTTCCGTAGTTGCTAAAGAAATTTTGCCTAATTACGGACATACGAAAATGGACAAAAGGCCTAGACCAGAGGTAGGCATAACAATCGGTTGGGATTTAACACTGAGGGCCGCACCCAAACTTTGATGTTTCCAGTGTGCTTCCAAAAACTTCATGCACTGCATTTATACCACTTCATTCTCAGTTTTTATATTACTTTTTACAGATGATCGGTGTAGAGCCGTAAAAACAAGGTGTTTTCCATCCAAAGATGTTTGGCGGGCCGCACACATAGGGTTTTTAATTCCTTTTCGCGGGCCGCAAAAAAATCTGTCCGGCCGAACTTTGCCCACCTGTGCCTTAGACTAAAAAATAAATAGGTCTAATGTCTGGAACAAATGACTTTTCCATCAGGATGTTTGGTTACATTGTCCCTCATATTTGTCAGATTACTGATAAATTATTGTGAAACTAAGAAAAAGTGGCCAGTTTTTTGAAATTCCACAACTGTTATTTTCCTGCACCCAAGACAAATTAGTTGGTGCTACATAAATTTAGTATTTACTGCACTACCGAATATTTATAGACCAGGTTACTAACCAATTTTAATAATTTGAGAAGTCTGGACAGGGGGAAAATGCCATTAAAATTCATATGGGCAGCTCATACAGCCACACAGCTGACTCAAAAAGGGCTGTAAATTATTTCCAGATAGTATTTGCCATGTTTCAAATGCTTTTGAGGTGACCTTTACACTAAGCTCCGCCCCTTGGATATTGTTGCTAAGGTCCCACAAGGCAACAGTGTTAAAACATACGCGAACACGTTTGTGAGACGTGTGGTGTGCGTGTGTATTCCTAGCGTTGTTCTCATTGGTCAGTTGTTAAGCTTTGATTGGCACTCCAGAAAATGTCTATTCATCAGGACTCTGGGATAACTTTTAATGAAGGTTAGGGAACAGGAAAATGCAAGATGAGAGGAATAGGAGCAAAGTTTGCATAGCAGAGGACGTATCTAGTTCTTCATGGACCAGTGATGGTATAAATTACCATGTTTATCATACAGTGTACAGTATTTTAATGTTGCATGAATGATTTTAAAAATTCCGAGAATATATGCGATGTCATTTTTTGACCTCATGGATTTACTCTCGTCACCTTTTGATGCATGGATGGCAAATAACTAACAGTCCACTTTTCACTATATTTTAATAGCTTCATGTTTATATATAATGCAAACAATTGATAATTGTTTCCAGTAAATAACATCCATATATATTTATACACACAATATATATTCATAATTGATGTATACTTCATTAAAAATGTTTATAAATACATCATCATACACATTATATAATAAGTGTACATACATCATATTGTTATATTTATGAATTATAAAGGTATACATAATAAAAGAAAAAAAAAACATATTCAATCTGATATTTCATTTGCCATCCAACTACCAACTCAAAAGGAAACAAGTAAAAGCATGAAGACAAAGTTAATAAGTTTGTTTTATTAAGAATCGTACGATACAGACTTTCAACCACATTCACTTCATAAACAGACACACAACATCACTCCATCACACTCAGTTTGAAATGTTTGTGTGCGCCAACCCGTGGCTGACAAAGAAAACTACAACACAGTTAAGCTGACTTTCGTTTTCCTTCTGAAGAAAGATTTCTCCAGTATTTTTATTGAATAGCAGACTGTAGTGTACCATCGTGACTACTGTATATCAACAGTCGAGACAAACTTAACACTTGGGTACATTGTATTTACAGATAAGCAAATTGGACAATAGGCCGAGCGTGCCCTTATCTCCAGCAGTGCTCAAAATTTTGTGAAATACATTTATAAAGTTACAAAAACGGATAAATAAATAAAAATTAGAAAAAAAACTAAACAATGCAAATTTATAGCAAAGGTTTAGCATGGGAATATTAACATGTCAAGATCTTTCCTTCAAATAGTTTAAAATAATAACTTTAACCACAATTTACAAAAGCTACCAAATTTCTATAGAAACTGTTCTAAAAATTGAAAAGCACCATGGAATTTACTTCCAAGACTTTTTGAACCTATCATCATACTGATAAGAAGTAATTACACTATATAACAAAATCTATGCTAAAGGTCACACATGAAGAACACGCAGGCACAATTTACTTATTTACAATGAAAAAACGCTATCTTCATCAGAATCTTAAGTCATGAATTAAAGGCGTTCATGTACCCACCCTGCCTATGAAATGTATATATTTATATATATTCAACTAAATAACATTAACCAATATGACCAATAACAAGATATCAATGATATCGAAAATGTAAAAATCACATTACAACATTTTACACAAAAAATAGTTATAAATTTCAAAACAAAAGAGTGCATGTGTTTCTCAGAACCATGAGGGCAGGCTTCAGCCCGCAAACTGTCAGCCATTATTAACAAGATTGTACCTTTCTTTTGTCAACCACTTTGGCACGCACAAACATTTTGTTTCAGACCTAGGGAGTTGACCACCACAATCAGCCTGAAATTAATCTAAACCCATTATTGAAAACACTTACTCAACTCCTTCTCACACAAAATAATCATGTTTATCAAACTATGCAAAAATTGATGGAAGTTCTTCAAAGAAATACAAAACATCATAAAGTTTTGAAGACAAGAAGTGTGAAATGAATGTAGACGGCTGGATGTCTCCCATCCTGCAGAACAAATTTTGATTTCAGTCTTCAGACAGGTATGTACAGTGGTCGAGATTTCCTGCTTAGCCGGTATGCTTGACGACGGACAAGCTTAACCCAACACGGATCTGAGCACACATGCCTCTCCCTTGGGCCTCTTCAGCGACAAGGAAAGATCACAAACATCTACCTGGGCTTGGCCCAACCTAAGCAAACAGCCTAACCAAAATATACACTTAGTTTTGTGTGATGCACACTTATGCATCATTTGAGTCTGCACACTTGAACATTATATGAATTGGAAGTGTTTGGCTATTATTCATGCTTATTATGTCAATTATAATCGTTAACAGAAATGAAAATTGAAAAAAAAAATAAATAAAAAAATAAACACTGCAATTTTCATTAGTACAAAGCTAAGCAAGTTAATTTTTTTACTGATGATAACTATAACTGAAACCCTGCATGATTAATGAGCAAATGGATGAGGAACTTTGTTTTTATGATGTCTATTTTTGTGTTATCTTCAACATTTTCCTTCCAAATTCACATTTAATCACACTTTAGAATTCATTTACATTTTTTTAAACCTACAAGTTTATGGTAATAGATTGGTGACAAAGGTTTACATCTTCAATTGATAATTGTTTTTCTTTGGTCACAAATTTCACTTATCCTGCACACCAATCATTATTGGCAAAAGGATTATTTAAAAATAAACAATATTAATAGGGTCTGCCACTGCGAGTACCAGTTTAGACAATTAGATCTAGAAATGTTTAGCTTCAAATCTTCATATTATTATTATTTTTTTTATTAAACATGGGCATATTATAATTACAGAACTGTGGTATTTTATCTTCTTAATATCATGTTTGTGCATGATTTAGTGTACACAAGGCATTTGTATGGTTTTTATGCAATACTTTTACCAATGAGCAATGAGATTTGGAGTAGTAGTAGTACTGGATAATTGATCATTCACCTGTTTCTGAATCACTACTGTCTGATGAGGATGAGCCACTGCTACTACTGCTCCCACTACCGCTATCAGATGAGCTACTACTGCTGGCACTTAGTCTCCTTGGGCCAGTAATGTTGTCGACAGCCTCTTGTGTTGCTGCTAAAATACAAAAAAAGTACAGATTATTTAAATGAGGTTGAAACTGTCGTTCTGAATAACAAGTGTTATTTGTTTTAGTTTACAGTGGCTTTTTCCAATATATTCCAAACAACAACTCCACTTCTCAGTATTAAAGTCAGGCTCCAGAGGAAAAAATTTATTGATATGTTGTACAACTGATTTTTCTAAGAAACAAAAAAGCATGTTTTAGGAAAAACTTGTGAGCGGTTAATGCGATAGATTTTTTAATATTTAAAAAATGGTGGAAAAAGGCGGAAAATTTTCCTCCGGAGGCTGCCGTTAAGCTTTGCCCGCACTTTCAAGGTTTCTGTGAAAAATATCTGAGATTTGCCAAAATACGAACAAACCACAGAAAATAATCACAAAAGAATTGTGGAAAGGTTGACACTTGCTGTAAACAGAATAGGATGTTTCCACTTAACTACATAGTATATCTTATTATGTAGCATTATACAATGAAGGCTAATGCAGTTCTGGTAAGAACCATGTGTTACATGGAAGAATTAAGTTTCTAAATGTGTATACAACAATTGTCAGTGCAGTACACATGTATGTAAATTTACTTGATAAATGAATACATAACTAAAATGTGAACAATTTTAATTATTCCATTTTACACAGAGGTCCTCAAATAGCGACACTTTATGTGCCCTTCAATCCAACCTACCAATAGTTACACTATTTAAATATTCAATCAATTTAAAAATTACCTTAGATAGTCATAACTACCTGGAAAATGAAGAACTTACCTTTCTTTGATTGTTTCTTATTTGAATAGTTTAGATCTAGCTGTCCACTAACGTCTTCTAGTCGCTTCTCAAGTTCCTTTTTCCTCTCCTTGTCTAAATCTTCTTTCGACTTTCCAGTCTTATTTTTAGAGGCTATAAAATAAAAATCAATGATATCTAAAAAATTGCATTTTCAATACATTATAATTACATTTTTAGGTATAGTAAATGTCGAAACCTGAAGTTCTGGGCTCACAGGCCACAGTGCCAGTCTCTGTTTCCTTGGCATTTGGGTCAGACTGTGCAAGGCTGCAGGGGGTTCACCACTCCTCCCACACAGCAAATCTGTTTTCCTTTCCCAGCTGGTACTCATTTATACTCCTGGGTAGAGAGACACACACACAGGTAAAATGTCTAAGGACACAAGCGAGTTGCACAGCACGTGTTTCGAACCCCTGACCTCTAGGTTGAGAATTAGAGCTACAACCGTTGCGCCAACCGCTTCCACATCTTTTTTAATTAATAACTTTATCATGTGATGTCAAGGCAGCGGCAGGTGGGATTAAAGCCAAAAAAAAAAAAATAAAAATCATTATCGGCAGGCAGCAAATTTCTACATAAAGACATGCTTATAAATGCAAGCAAAAATTAATTGCTACAGCTTACAGTAAGGTTTTCTTGGTTTTTTCCGCAAACACGACATTACATATCGTTCAAGTTGCCGCAGAGTGGAGGGCTTCAGTGTCTCAAAGTCGATCTCAATTTCATCAGGGTTGGAATCTTTTAGCGATGGTTCTCTGGATTGAATAATATGTACAACACGTCCCAGTTTATCACCTGGTGAATGAACGAATCAGATACATTAAAAATGTGCAAGCAATTAAATCAATATAGATACAGTACATTAGGCCAAACAATAAAGAAGTTTTTGGCCAAACATTTGAAAATCAGGATAAATTGGCAGCAATTTTCTATTTTTAACAATTGGACTTATGCTTCATGGTATTATGGAAAACGCTAAAAAAAAAAAATATATATATATATAATATATTACTTCTTCCAATTTACTCATTTTCAAACTGTTCCCATGGCATGAAACAGTCATCTCCACAATTAACAGTAGTGACTGTGATTAACATGGGATGGATTACTGTTACCTACATTGATTATAGACCTGCTTCATTGCCCAGAAACGGGCTAACATCCTTGCCCAATGAGGTAATTCTAGAAAACCAAGGAATATCTTACCGGGTAATTTATTTATATCTAAACTCAATTGTCTTTTCTCATCATATGACATAGGTTTTGCTGTGTCATCATCTTCGCTTTCATATCCAACAGCTGTTGACGTTGACGTACCAGCAGGGGGTTTCTTTGACTTATTTGTCCTGGAAGGAAATGACAAGGTGAAATTCATATAGGATATACAAAGTAGAACATACAACCATATGATTTTAGATCTTACAACACCGAGACAACATAAATTTTGTGTTCTCATTTTAAATCTGTAGATATGGCATAGAAGTCAACTGTATTATTGACAGTGGCGATTACAACAATGATAATAGATTAAAATCCATGCATATCTTTGTATGATATTCTATACTATACAAAAAGCTTTATAATTATGTAAAAATATAAAGAGACAACTGGGCATACTTTGTGTTTGCTTTTGGCTTTCTTGTAGATTTACTATCTTTCTTTGATTGCTTTGCCTTCTTTTCTTTTGCTTCTTTTGCTCGTTCTTCATCCCTTTTCTTTTCAAGAAGAGCCAGCTCTTCTCTATGCTTTTGCTCTTCCTTCCTCTGTTCTTCCAATTTCTGTTCCTTCTTGTTTTTATCCTTCTTTTTCTTTTTCTTATGTTCCTTTGAATCTTTATCTTTCTTTTTTTTTGGCTTGCTTCCTGAGACCGATGGTATGGATTGTCCTGGTGTGGATGTGAATGTTTGTAACTCCTCTTGAACTGCCTTAAGCTAACAACAACAAATTAAACCAAATTTAATAATTCAATTATGAACACACACACACAAAAGGTTATCTGTATCCTTCTTTGCTCAACAGAAAATTTTGTGCAATAGGACGAGTAGTGCAAAATCAAGCAAGTTTAAGTTTTGTCATAATATTAGGGAGTATTTAATTAAGGTGTCAGTAAAATTTGAAAGGCAATGTGCATAGTGAATCTATCATAATATTCTATGCCCTTTTCAAAATACCTCTATTATTTCTTAGAGCCAGAAATATTTTAATCAAAACCCATTCTTGTCCAACCAAATACCCTTTTATACGAAGTTAAATAATTCTGTATTTTGTAATCAGATCAAAGTTTTAGATCCTGCACCAAATCCAAGCAAGAATATCAAGGTTCCATCAACGGTAAAACACCGGAGATAGAAATCAAAGATAGATGCTGGAAAGGCTCAGTTGACACGCATGAGATCATCATGTTACAATTGATAAACTATTATAGAATTATATTTCATTATTTTCTGACAGTTGTTTTATGGTACATTACACACAACATGAAAGGGTATGCTAACATGACTATTTTGCCCAAACTGTACAAAAAAGCATCTAATACATACATCAGTGACTAACCATGTCACACTTGAGTTATAATTACAAAAATGTTTAATGTCACTCTTAAAAAAGGTGAACCATCCAGTTGATAGGACGAAAGCCACAAAAGGAAAACATACAAATTTAAAATCACAGAAAACACCTTATTATCTATGTATCTTATTTCAGAAAAGTATATAAACCATTATAATTACTATAAAATTTAGTAAATTTATACATTTAAAAAAAAATTGAATCTTATACTGATAAATATGATAACTATTTATAATTATCAATATATGATGTAGTCAATTTTCTTACCTGCGCTTGCAAATTTGCTAATCTCAATTCTCTTTCTGTCTCACTGTCTGCATCCGTACTACTTTCCGACGAATCACTACTACCAGTGTGACTAATTCTCTCTGTACCTGCAGTGCCTGGTGTTGATTCTTTCTCCTCAGGATCACTGTCTAGTAACTCATCTGGCATTTTTGCAAATTTTAATTCAAAAACCTCCTAAAATGTCAATAAAATAAACTACTTTAGGAAGAAATGTCTCTGTTATATATAAGTTTACCTAGCCTCACTAATGTAAGAATGTTTACTATTCATACCTCATATCTTAACACCAAAATATTGACAATTCTTTATACCAAAAATCATATAATATTTTTCATAATAAACCAATTTAAATATATTTAATTTTCTTAAAAACCTTAAAAATAAACTTGCCTGTAATTTCTTGGCCATGGCAACAACATCGTGGTCAGGAGGATTATATTTGTAACAATTTGTAAACATTACTCGTACATCACTAGCAAATGCATTAGCACTTTTGTAATCTCTTTTCTCCATTTTTGTCTAAAAGAAGCAAAAATAAAAATGTTTTTAATCTGTAATGTCATTCATGAACAACATTAGTCAACTTCTATGGCAAAGTCTGTCAATGTCTATTTGCATTCGTACATCACAGTATCGCAACAGGTTAACACTATAGACCCCCGTATTCAACCACCCCCACACCCAACTACAGACCGCCAAAGATTTTGATCTAGACCACACAACAATCCTCAAAAATATATCATTTTTGCGGCCGATTTTTAGTACTTACAGAATTTTTTCTGTTAATAGAAACACGACTACCTACTCCTATCAAAACCTAAGCCCGCCACTGTTCTGAACAGATTGTAACTGGCCACCAGCTTAAAGAAGTTGAATACCTAGACTATGTCACAACCATAGCTGGAAAGAGTAGGGATCGTTTATAAAGAGCAGCTGTACATTTACTGACATTGCTAAATAAATCTATCTGAAATATATAAGAGGTTAATATACAACTAACCTTAATTGATCCAAGATCCATAGGTTTCTTAATGATGTCATAATAATCATGTAAGCCCAATGCATCCACATCAACTGGTTTGTGAAAAGGCCATGCATATGCCTGCAGAACAGAAAATATACAATACAGTTAATTTCCAAATTACCTGCAAAATATTAGCAGTTATTTTGTTTATGCATAGAGACATTGTATTGTACATCTTATAAAATAAATTGCAAAATCACTGTTGCCTATAATTACACATAATTTGTAGATAAATTATTCATGATGCACCAAATTGACTATACAGCATCAAATGTAGTTTTAATCTGCCTGTTGTGTCACTGCAATTTTATTGCCATAGAAAAGCTACTTTTATACGTTTCCAGGTTTCCACAAGAGCGAATAATTCTATTGAATACAAAATTCCAACTTACAGCATGCTTTTTTGATGTAAGTTCTTTGAGGATATTATTGCAGTAACGTAATTGTTCAGGAAGTTTGGCTTTCTTTCCTTTTGAATGCTGAGCGGTGTCTGGTAGATCACGTTTAACAGGTTTTTTTTCCCGTACACTTTCTCTCCGTGACATTATCTTTGGTGGCTTTTCAACAATCATTAGTTCTGTGGGAGATGTTGTTCCTTCTGTAGTGGGCGTTGTTGTGTCGGCCTTCCTTTTTATACCTTTTGATTTAACCTATACAGTAGAAATACAATAGACAGTTAAATAAAGCTGAGAATGCATACTTATACTTTATTTCTGTAGAAGAATCTGAACACACATTTATATGTTAATCTTGTATTTTAATTTGTTTCCATGGCATGAAACAGTCATCTCCACAATTGATAGTAGTGACTGTGATTAACATGGGATGGATTACTGTTACCTACATTGATTATAGATCTGCTTCACTGCCCAAAATGGACTAACATCCTTGCCCAATGAGGTAATTAGAACATTAAGATGATCAAACTAATAAATTTATTTACCTTAGCCTGAGTTTGCTGTGCTGCGGAGGGTAATACTGCTCCAGCTTGCGGTTGAACTAACTGTTGTAGTGGAGCTGCAGCAAGTCCTGGTTTGTTCAAAGCAGGTTGTACTGCATCGGGCATTGCATTTGGTGTAAAATTAATTGGTTCGGCAGCATCGACTGGTGTTGTTGAAACTGGATCTTGAAGTTGTAATGGTGTATTCATTGCTGCTGTTAATTTCGCTAAAATAAATAAATAAAAGGCTTATTGATGTGTAATGCAAGATTCACCTACAAGTAAACATATATTTCTTTACCAACTACAGTTGTTGGTAAAAAATAAAGCAGGTAATAACTTCAACCATCACCCCTATGACGTAGGTTTAAACATAGTTCATAAATTCACGGGGAAAAAAGTACTATTACATTAAATTACATTACATTTTTTCAGTTATCGCGATGTAATCTCTAGGCCTCACATTCAACGTCACTGTGTAATTTATTACAGGCAGAAATGGTAACAGGGAATGCGACCTCTACAATGAGAGAGATTGGCCCGTTGACCTTGCTACAGGTCAGCAAGTATAGTTGATCATGGCTAAGCGAGTAGGCCTAGGCCAACTTGGTGGGTACTCTTTTCAATACTTTTGAATCTGTGTATGAGTTATATAAAGTTGAAGTCAAATTAAAAATGGCATTGAAAAATTGTTTGACTTAAAAAAATTAGACTTACAGATCATTAATTAATGCAAAACACAACAATTTGGGATGTAAAATAAGAGCGACTTAGAAATTAAGAGTTAAGCAAAGTCGACTTGGGCAAGTTTAACTGTAAATCAATTGACTGCTCTAGATTCAAGGAACGGTGAAATCTATAGCCCCATTGGTGATGTGGAATCCGTACCCTTATAAAGTCCCTCAGGCTGTCGGGAAGATAGTGGACTATGGCCTCAAAATCACCTCAGGGCTATAAATTTCCCCGTTCTCCTCATAAGCAGTCAATATTTGTATACCAACAAAATAAAAATCTAGCATCTAGCACTGTACTAGTAAATTGAGCATGCAACATTATCAATTACATTAATAGCAAATCTAATGCAATGTTTTGCCAGTTGTTCTCACCTCTTTGTACAGGTCCTTTTTTAGATTTTTTGCCATCCTCACCAGCACCTGGTTTAGTTGGAGGTGCAAGCTCAATTTCTTCCTGAGGCATTTGGGCCACCTTAGTTAAAAACAGTTTCTCTAATGCCTGCGCCATTAACACAACATCCTACAGGAATTAAAAATAGTCAGATACCCAATTATTACGACAATGACATTCTTTTTCTAGTTGTTTTTATTTCTAATGCAAATGCAAATTGAAAAACTGCCAAGAATAAAAATCAAATAGTACAAATGATTACACTTTTTGTTTGATTATATTTTATACTTTTAGTGACATCAATCAATCAATCACTTTATGTGAATGCCATTTCAAACTTTCCTCAGGAAAAAAAGTCTGTCATCACTCAGTGCAGTGTAGGTAAGGAAGCATCACAGGAAAGTACAATGAATGAAGATATAAGAGATAGAGCCACAACATAATACAGAACTCTGGAGCTTTCTCTACATACCTCTCCCGGTTTATTATATACATAACAGTTCGTAAACATCAGATTGAAATCCGAGATGCAGGCTTTTGCGCTGTAGTAGTAGTTTGTTTCAAGTCTCTTTTTTATTGTGCCAAGATCCATTGGATTTTTAATGATATCAAAATAATCCTGAAAAATAGGTAGAAATCATTCAGATATTCAAGATTTGATCTGAAAATTAGCCACGTAGAAAAAATATTTTAAATCTCGATGCAAGTACTTTTTTCATATCACAAATGACATTTTTACAGCACATTTCTAGTGTTGAGCATTTGGAGACCAGACTCTCTAAATGTAACCTTCCCACATTGTGTGTGTCATCACATTTCCATAAATTTAAAGCCATTATTTCAACTTACTGGAATTCCAAGTTTCTTTGGATCAACAGGTTGATGGAAAGGCCAGGCAAATTGGTGTTTCCATACGCTCTTCATGACTACATTCTTGAGATACATGAGTTGATTTGTAATCCGTCCTGTGTGCCTCTTTTGGACAGGTGACTGGGCCTTCTTTGCCTGTAGGATAACAAAATATGAAAGATAAAGGATACAAATATACCTGTGTGTGTATATATATATATAACTGAAAAATTTTAAAGTAATTTATAAGTTGATTATTAATGAAATACAAACATTACTATTTGCTCTACTGTGTATTTTTAAAATGTTATTGTAATGTGAAGTGCTATTTTAATAATTTATTATATTCAAGCTCGAATTTATAACTCACATTATTAAATTACATTTGTACAATATACAATGGCTACAATGTCTAGGGTATATGCAGTTTTATATTGTTTTTTCAAAGATATCTTACCAAGTAGTACATAAATGCTCTACTTTTGTGTTTTAGAAATTGGCAGGGAGAGGGGTGGGGAAACTATTATCATGGGGATTAAACCTATATAACCAGTATATAGTGTACATAACATTTGGTGGTGGAGGCATTTTATCAAGACAACTTCCATGGTTGGAGGCACAAACATTGTTTTTCCAGGCCCGATGGGGAACAAACTGGCAGTGGCATTTTGCAATATGAAACCAAAGATTCTTGGATAGAAAAAGGAGGGTATCACAACCACCAAGCTACACATTTTTGGATACAGAAATCTATGTAAATTAAATCAAATGATGATTTAAAATAGTGAACAAGTGTCTAAATGATATAGCCTCTTCTCAAACTTACATCTACTGCCTCCATCATTGCTGGTGCGTTAAGTGGCTTTCTAGTTTTGTTGTTTTTTGCTACCACTGCAGCGGTCGCGGCTGCTGCAGCTGCAGCTGCTGCATCAGCTTGACTAACTGCCTTGACCCCGTTCACAGGTGCATCTCCTGTCAGTGTTTTTTCGGAAGCTTGTACTCTATAGGAATAAGAATTTTTGTGAAAAATTTAACATCAAAAATATATTTCTATTCAAATTCAATTGGTGTAAAATCAACTGTTCCGACTGGATCAATAAAACATGAGAGGATTTTAGTATTTTCAAAACTAGCTTATTTTACACACCTATGATGAGGTGCATTACTGTACTCTATATAATGAAAAGTTGGTGTCTCAATAAAAATAGTAATTTAAAATTTCCTGTTTTAATGCTTTGTTTGCCATCAGTTACAAGTTATATTGGATGTGAATAAAATCATTAAAAGCAAAATAATCTTTCGATTAGGAAAATAATTTGGTCAAACAATAACAACTATTAAATCATTTATCAAATTCCACATGAAAATTGCATTACATTATAGGTTAACATAGGTGTAGTTGCAACATTAGGGCTGTTATAAAAACAGAACAAGTAGCGGCCATTCCGTGGCAAAAAAACATAACTTGAAATTTTCACATTTGGAGAAAAATAGAGTTAAAGTTTGCATGTTCGAAACTTCACAATAAATTGTCATAGCCTTTAAAAATTTTGCAGGATTGTATAACTATAGACATTGTGATTATATGTAAAATTTTAATTACAACCATTTGTTTATTGCAAAGTTATTAGCAATAATTACAGATACTGTACGTTGTTTTGCCACAGAAACATGTCATGCTCTGTATTGTTGCAAGTGCGACATATTTTTGGAATTTATCACGTTTATGGCAATCATATGCATTTACCTAGCCTGTTCATACATTGCTGTTTAAGATTATTGATATAAAAACACCAATAACCATTTGATTTTGCCTTGCGAAACTTCATCGGCTCTAGACCTTTTTTGAATAGCATTCCGTGGCAAAACAACGTATCTTCATCGAGGATACATTGTTTTGCCATGTAATCTTTTAGTTACATTGTTCTGCCACAGAAATCACTGGATTTTAAGTTTTGTGCTTAAAGATAGGTGATGCTATCTCCGAAACGACTCATTATTGAGACCTGAAAGTTTTACAGGTAATTCAGACGTGTTTAATATACTCCCAAATGATACTGTATTACCTCAAAATCGACAAAAATGTCAGTTATGTTGTTTTGGCTCGGAAAGGCCGTTAGGACATAATTAACATAAATACTAAAAAATAGTTATAATAATCAATAACTCTACTTTTATTCCTCTTCCCACCCATTCCATCACGACTGCAAAGATGGCCAAGGTTTAGGCACACCGAACCTAAACGGACATCTACTGATAGTTCATTAATTTTAAATGAAATTCCTGGCCTGTGTTTTTCCCCAAACATTGACAGATAATGTCAATTTAAAAATTATTATCAGGGATGTCGTTATAGTGGGCAGGGCCACCCAGCCTTGAATTGTTAAACCCATTTTAAAGCTAATTTCATGGCCCTCCACCCCCCTTTATTAACCACCTTGTACTTGACCATCCTTACAATCCACTCTTTTTATTTAGAGTTTACCACCGGCCACCCAGTTTTCTACAGCTACTGTATCAGGATTATTATTAAAATCAAATTACCAATTTATTACAATTATTGATTAAAACAGCATATCCAACCGCTAGTTTAAGTCACAACTAGTTTAACGACGATGTATCCAGTCTCAAATCAAGTTTTGCAAAAATACAACATATTTTCCCACAAACAATAAACAACAGAAATATCCAGGAAACCAGCATCAATCAGCACATATACTACAGTATATGGAGGCTAAGAATAGCGTTACTGCTTTACAGAATCGCCGAGACAAAACAAGCATTGAGCAGAACTTAAGTCTGTCCTGCGGTAACCCCACACCCACGGACCACCTACAGTAGACACGCCACTGATTCCAATTACCGTCGTAGTTTTAGTAACTAGCCAAGTGTTGGATTATCCAATTTAGAATTTTCACTACCAAAAATAAAATATTTTTATAAAGATTGATTTTCACAGCTTGGCACCTGCAACCAAATAAACAACACTAAGTTAATATTAATATGTTTCAGTATTCTGTTCACATTAATGGCCAAAGGGAAGTCAAAGTTTAACAGATACCACCATCCTCAAAAATGGCATTATTAGAAAACTATACTACAACATGACCAGACAGTTTAACCATCACTCAACACTGAACATGCTTACATATTACAGGAATACCAAAATTACAAATTAATTTTACCATCCTTAAATTCAACCAATTTCAAATCAAGCCAAACACTTTTTGGGTTTGGATAATTATTAGGTTATTTGCGGCGAAGTATAAATGAGCAATAATAAATATTGTTGTCATTGATTATTGCCAAACAAATTAGCCAAATCCTCCACCACTCTAAAATTATCACAAAAACACAAAATTAAATCATGAATGAATATTATTTTGTATAGGCCTATGCCAAGTAACATTATTTGGATAGTATAACCTAAAATCGACAAGGTACATTAACAAAGAGGATAGCTGGTATGAGGGTACACTATCGAGGCTAGCGATTCACAAGCAACAATCACACACGGGCAAACCCACATGTCCACACACAGACCGCTTGTATCGATCGCTAACACCTAGCCATTGGGTGGCCTAGTTATGCTACCTAAAATAACAAAATTTAAACTTCGAATTACAGGCCTACTCTACCTATACGTACTACAAATTATATACCAAAATAGTCTACAACTACTAAAGACGTCAACTTTATAAGAATTTCTTACATATAATGGGTACTTTTCAGGAAACAGGTGAATTTTAAGACAGCGTTCTTCCAGGCAAAATGGACAAACAATGGAACTGTCGTCCGACTGCTCTTCCCGCCCTCTGATTTTATCTAGTTTATCGATTCTAAACTAAATCATACAAGTAAAATTTTCGTTTAATACCCTTCAACAGTGTTCTTAACTGGCTGCTGATAGCCTTGCATCGACGGATGGCTCTTAGTGTCCATTCCAAATTTCGGATTTCATATACACCCTTGAGCTTCCGATCAACGGCAATGGCGGACCAGCAGTACAAGAAATCTTTTATTTCAGTAATACAATATTGTGATTGGTTGAGGGCGGTCACATGGTATAGGTTTTGCGAGTTCTTGCTGTAAAATTCTACCATTATTCGTAATATTGACTTACATTTTTAGGCTAGAGTATGATCATAAGTTAACGTGTATCTTTGTGATTCTATATGGTGCATTTTGGTGACAGCAAAGTGTTCAACTAAAAGGTACCACAAACGAAATTACTGTGGCGTCACACCTAGCACGACACAGCAAATGATGAAATTCTCAACGTCAGCAATTGCTTCCTCTGCCTCTGATTGGTCAATCAATGTCAGCTGACAAAGTACAAAGAGTAAAGACCATAATTACCATGGAGAAACAGAAAAAAGAGTGGTATATTCCACTCAGCATTGGCCTACCAGTGGCGGATTCAAACGGAGAGGGGGAGGGGGTCTAATCGGCCCGGGCTCCCTAAATATTTCAAAATTAAAAACAAACTGGAGATGAAAAGAAAATTATATTCGATTCTGAGAGTGCCATGTTCTGCCATCATAGAGGTGCCATAAATTGCTCATTTTGGTTTTTTTTTCAATGGGAATAATTATAAATAAAATTATATTCAAATGTTATGTCTGGAAGTGCAATTTCCGGCCATGTAGAGGTGCCGTAATCACAAATTTTCTGACCTCTGAGGTGGATATCCTCCATCTGTGAAAGTGTTCCCCCAACCTCTTGGGTCCCTCTATTTTAAATTCTTATCCGTCACTGGAAATTTACTGTACAACAATTGTGAAGTCATCTTGATGCCTATAAAATAACCAATAAAACACCAAGCTTCTTCAGATATCCGTGGCTTCCAGGGGGGCTTCTCCCCCTCACCCCCACCGGGGGAGGGGGGGCCCTTGGCGGCCCCCCTGCCCCACCCCCTAGCATAGATGCTCGCTTCGCTCGCATCTCGACCTTATGAAATGGACCCCCACTTTCAAAAATGCTCCGCTGCCGTTGGTCAACTGCCGATTAAGATAACAGGATGACAGGGTTTCTTGCAAATTCAGATGAGAACATGTTAAGTGCAATTTTTGAAGAGGAAAGTTGGAAAGGTATGTCCGGGAGCTCTCAGCTTTCCAGGAGAAATATCCTTATTTTGAAATAGAAATTTTTTAAAAAGAAATGTGAATCCACTCCGCAGCCAATACATTTTCAGGTTTGATTGGATTATTGGCTTTTGCTAAAGAAACATGTGATATTGTTCTTAAAACAATTAATAAAATTATATATTCAAGATGTTTACATGCGAGAGTGTTGAGGTCAGTTTATATTTGTTGACTCAAGAAAAAAAAAAGGCGATTCTGTATATGGCCACACAGTATTTCAATTTTAATAATCGATATTGGTACTGTAGTAAATCCAAGATGATGTACAGGCCGGTAACAATACAATAAGAACGAGATTCGAATGACGCATCAAAACTGAGCACAATGTTAAACTTAATGGACACTGACTTTTGGCCGACAGATTGATGGACGGACTACAGACCGACCGACCGACAATTATGAGATGCAAATAGTTGATGGATCGGACAGAAAATTAAGTTGGTGACGTATTTTACTGTACTGTATGATTAATTTTGTCCGGAATCGAGGAGCGCTTATTCAAACGGGACACTTTAGAAAATGTTCACCTTAGGAGGAGCTCTTATTCGAGAGGAGCCCGCGCTTATTCTCGCGAGTACGGTACTCAGCAATGGAAATACTGTATTGAATTGTATTTCTAGACTCACAAAAAACTTCATCACAACCAATGTTTACGGAGTTTTGGTTAATGCGTTTTTCAGTTTCTCGACTTTTGTGGATTTACTATTAGTTACATATTTCAAGTATATTTTGAAAAAAAAAAGATATCAGAGAAACAACATTCACGTTCAACCAGTTACACGAAATGGCTATTTAATGTTTCAATAAAGAATTTAATATGGCACCATCTTCTCACTTTTTTTCATAATAAAATATTTCGCAGTAAAAGTTTGTAAATCCACAAAAAAAAATTGAATTGTGTCTCAATGAAAGTTGATAACTTTTATTTTAAATTAAATTCGGTGTTTTAATGGGATTATCTTATGCATTTTATTGGGCGTTTTTGTTTTTTGGTCACGTCTACGTCTAGTCTTCAAACAAAAAGTTTTCTTGGAAGGTAGAGGGCGTTATTTTCTCTCACCGCATCTGTCTTTTTTTCTGGCTACATTGTGTGGATGGAAGAAGAACACGTTCGGTCATTTCGGTCATCAAATTCTTCAGGGTTTGGGGTCCCATACAGTTGATGTGTTCTAGAAGTGTATGAGCATATGATTAGTATATTGAAATTAAGTATAAGGTATGTATTCATGTCGATTTTTCCTGTTTTGCGTAACTGGAAGAAAAATTCATGCTAGGCTACCACCAACAACAAACTCTCTGGCGACGGGGGATTCTTTTGCTTTGTATGCGTCCTTTTTCCCGCGTCTCTTTGTAAGCTCTATCATGTAATGCCCAGCCTAGGCTTAGAAGGTGTAACCAGCTTACTTTCGGTAGCAGTTATTAATATTAATAATAATAGTTATACCTGCAGATACGTTATGCCATTAACTAACAATCAGCAGACGGCATCACTTGGGGAAGTACTTTACTTTTGACAGAGCGTGTGGCGTGCTGAATTGAATTCATGGCTTGCAGACCGAGAGTTGAACAATGATGCATGTATGTGCTGGGCTTTATTTTAGCATGAATGGAGTTGAAATGCTTGGAGGTTTTAAAATGTCTGCATTCCAATCCATAGCTCCTTTGTTCAGTTCCTGTCACAGACAAGATTTTTTTCTCGCAATTAAAAACTCCACTCCCTAATCTAAGCCTCATAGTCATAACGAGACGACGACAACTAAGTCTATATAGGCCTAGAGCATCTTGTGTTTATATGCAATAATATAAAATTTCATTCATGTTAAGCCAAAAATTAGGGTATTCAATAATATTGTCTGACTACACTTGAAGCTAAATTGTAAATGAATTAGGGTAATATGTTTGTTATTTGAAAGGACTGCCACTTAGAAAATAGACACTGTAAGTCCATTGTTTGGTATATCATCCTTGGCTTTGTGCCAAAAGTTGTATAAAAACATTAAAAAGTATGTCATAATAATATGCACAGAACAGAGGTGTGGCACCGCGGCCAACATGCTGCAAGCTTGTTGAACTTGTTCGCAGGTGACAGCATGTGCCTTTTGATGGTGTGTCTTGCCAAAAATGTGCTACATTAAATAATATATTCATGGGGTAGTTTACCCCATGCTATACAGAGGATGTTTTTGCCTTTGACCTGTAGAATTGATCAAGGTTATTACCCCTCTTACAATTTTAACCATGTTTTATTCAGGTGATACAGAATACATTAAAGAAATTATTATATAACAATCTAATATTAAAAATGTATACTGCATCTTTTGAATAATAAACTTAGAAAAATGATAAATCAATATTTAAATTGTTTTCATTGTTCATTTTAATTGATTATTTATAGCCATGATCCGGAGGGAAAAAAAGTTTGATATGTTGATATATTGATTTTTTTTTTAAAGACACAAAAAGCATATTTGTATATCTGCCAACCATACAACTTCACTCAAGTACAGTGGAAAATTACATAAAAGGTGTACTCAGTTGCATCATTCTCCATTGCCTTTCCCTACCCTATGTTTATACTGTACTACAAGAAATACCACTGATTGCAGTCATCATGCTACATAGGCTTCCACATTAATAATTAACCTAAAACCTGTGTAACACTGTTTATTTACACGATTTCCCAGGCATAAGCGGAGATGACAACACCCGAGAATAAACCTCCAAGTACAGAGCCAGCAAGTAAGCCAACTCCTGTAACAAAGCCACAGACCACCAGCGTATCACTATCGAGCCTTCCAAAAGTAAGTCACGCTTTCTTACAGATGGTTGTTGCCGGTGTAAACAAATTCCTGACAGCATCAAAGCTGCAATGAGATTGTAGAAATGTCTGAAGTACAAATCAGTAGTACAAATACCAATACTACAAACCTGTAAAACTTTTTTAATAAAAGTCAGGCACCGGAGGAAAAACAAATTTTAAAGTTTTGTACGACTGATTTTTTTAAGACGCAGAAAGCATATTAGATGAAAAACTTGGGAACAGTTAATTAGATACAGATTTTTGAATACTTAAAAATGGAGGGGGGTGGGGCGGGAAAATGTTTTTTTTTAAATATTCAAAAATCTGTATCTCATTAATCGTTTCCAAGTTTTTAATCAAATATGCTTTTTGTGTCCTGGAAAAATCAGTTTTACAACATATCAACAAAATTTCCTCGAGCCTGGCTTCAAATTACAAATGATTAAACACTATTAAATTTGTGTAATCTTTGTAATATTTATATTATTTTGTAAACTAAACACACCACATACAAACAATTCGAGATAATTTTCCTTTCAGAAACCAAATTACAGTTTGAAATTTACTCTAGCTGGTCATACAAAAGCTGTTTCCTCTGTCAAGTTTAGTCCAAACGGAGAATGGCTAGCAAGTTCGTGTAAGTATATAAAAATACATGAATTGGTTGGTATTAAAAAAAAAGTGTACTGTGTACTGTATAGTCTAGGTCTCCTCCAATTAAAACCTCTTTTGGGACTGGGGTTTCCATGACTTAAGCAGCTTAGAATAATATAGATAAAAGACATAGTTAATTGGGGACTGCAGAAAAGTGCTGTTTGCTGGGAGGTCTTTTATATACAGTTCATGAAATATTCACAGTAATTCACTAAAATAATATGTCAATCATTTCACAGCTGCTGATAAACTCATAAAAATATGGGGTGCATATGATGGCAAGTTTGAGAAGACTATTACAGGACATAAACTGGTGAGAATAAATTTAATTATAGTTTTGACAGCAATATAATGTAGTGGTTTAAAACTGATTATATCTACTGTATGTGTGCTACACTGTTAACACGTTCACTGCCAGCTACAAGTATACTCGTTCCACAGGGTGTTACTTGAGGGTGTTGGGGACGACTATATTTATCAAACTACATTGTAGAACCACAGACTTAACAGCTGATAGTTCGGGAACACCTAGGCGATAACAAATAACATACATGTGTGTGTTGTATTATGTTGCTGGAAGTACAAAAGATTGTACAAGTGAGGGAGCCCTCTGAACATATACCAGCCCATGCAAAATGCGGACGAGAAAACTTGCACTTGGCAGAGGCAATATAAAGTACCGTCCCATTGCCAGAAACAAGTTTACTTGTCCTTAAACACACCATTTTGATGATATGTGATTGATAACATTTCAAGAAAGTATGTTTGCACATGTACTGTACAATACAGGATACAAACATCAGAGAATTTTGCCTTCAGCCATTTTCTCCACCAGGAGTACTGAAGCTTTGTATCCGTATTGGATTTGGATTTATTCGGTGTAAATACCAAGGATAGCCCAAGAAAGTCTAGAAGAAGACTTATTTCCAGTGGGTCCTTCTGGTGGTGACTGGGCAGTACACCGGGAGACAATCCCCTACTCTTTTCCAAAGAGTGTACTGCGTTTTTTAACGTGCACATGGGCCATAATGCACACGGGCCAACAGCTTAAACGTCTCATCCGAAAGACGGTGTGCTATTGCAACTTGTATTTCAGCCCTCTAGCTGAAACACAAGGAGAGGCAGCGATGGGAATTGAACCGGGGACTTAGAGATCTCCACGGTTCAGCGCACACACAGTGACTACCACCAGATTAGCCGACTGAGCTAAGCTGCTCTCTTTTTACAGTTTTTATAGTTATTTGTTCTTTAGAAACCGTATAACATAGCTTTGTATGTAAAATGTATGAAATAGTTCTGTACTACTATTATCATTGAAATATTATATAGAAATTAAGCAATCTACACATATTTTTTTTCATTTTTGTTAAACGCAACGTCTTCAACATGTGGAAATTTATTTTCATTTTATTTGTTTACTCATTATACAAACTTTAAAGCAATATTTATTTAGGTATAAGAACAATGCAAAATGACAACAAAAGGACTGAAATTGATTGCATTACTATATCAAAAAACTGTAAAAATATAAAATTATTTACAATAATTATAAAGTACCACATATTAAATATTAATAATAATATCACTATTTATCATCAGTTCTGTTGCTAAAGTTGATTGTGGTTGCTTTTTTTGACAGGGTATATCTGATGTAGCATGGTCGAGTGATTCTAAGATTATTGTGTCTGCATCTGATGATAAGACTTTAAAGATTTGGGAAGTTAGTTCTGTAAGTTAACAGTATTTTTGCTATTAAGTTTATGAATACCTTAGAGGATGATATAAATATATACAAATTGTAAATAAACAAAATAAATTAAAATGCAGACTAATGCAAGAATGAAAGTAATAAAAAAAAAATAGCAGTTATTAAATTTAATTAAAAATATGAAAAGTAAATATCTATGGAAAATGAGACGAACATTGAAGATACAGTACCAAAATGTTTGCTATAATATAAATAGTGCCCATTATATAAAATTAACTATATAATTGTTGATTTTTGTGTTACCTTGTACCCATCTTAGTTCCTAAAGTAGAACAAGAACAGGGGCTGCAGTTTTGTAGTATATGTTTAAACGTAAACTTGTCATTTGAGTTACTGTAGCAGTGATCTTTCCCCCTGATCTTTCATTGGTATGCTAGCATATGATCGTTTTTCATCACCAGGGTAAGTGTATGAAGACGTTGAAAGGCCATACAAACTACGTATTTTGCTGCAACTTCAATCCACAATCGAACCTCATAGTTTCTGGATCGGTAAGGATGCAAGTTTTGTTAGAACAGCAGTATTATTATTGGTTTAACCAAAAGACAATTAGGGCCTGTTTCTGCTGAGCAAAAAAACATGAGTTTACTTCTTTCGCAGCATGTAAGTAAGGTCAGCTTTAACTTCCGTTGGTGACCGTCATTTAAGCTCTGCCCACCTGCCAATGCTCGCATTACCATGTTTTTATTAGTTCCACTTTTCACTAGAAACACGTTCAGAAGGAATTTAACCGTTTATAAAAAACACGTGTTTTTTACGTTATTCAGCAGAAACACGCCCTTATATAGAATAGTAGTAATTTTCCTTTTGCTGTTGTGATCATCAGAGCTGCTTTGCTCCTAGGATAGGGGCATGTGTGCTAAGTTTTAAGTAATTTGTGAAATAGAGAAGGAAGTGTATGTTAGGGTTGATAACTTATTTTTTCATATTGGCTTTAATACTTTGTAAAAATGTTTACATAATCAGTTTGATGAAAGTGTGCGAATTTGGGATGTGAAAACAGGCAAATGTTTGAAGACATTACCAGCTCATTCGGACCCTGTATCAGCAGTAAGTTTCTAATCCTCCAAACAAAATTTGTACAAATTTGTATAAAATAAAATATATATTAAAATATATAATGTGATTTCTTTCTATATAAACTATATTTTAACTATATAATGTTACTTGGTAGATAGTAAATACAATTTTTGTTTGACTTATCAATGTAATAAGTAATAATAATGAAAATGTTCTTGGTTATTTTTTTCTGGATTTCTTTAAAGGCAAAATCACAAAGGTGTATTTCTTTTTTTTTTTGGTATTGAAAGGTGTATTTATATATATATATATACACTCACACCTTCTGTTTTACTTTGTAGGTTGACTTTAACAGAGACGGTTCATTGATTGTGTCCAGTAGTTACGATGGTTTGTGGTAAGTAATCGCTAATAATCATAGTTACATTTTTTTTAAATGTGTGTGAATCTTTCCATTGACAATTTCTTTTTTACAAATTAATACCTTTTGCTAACATTCCTATGTAATGTATTTTTGGAATTTGTACCTATTCCATACAGGTTTGTCACAAGATGTCATGATTAGAATTGTTTATATTTGTGCTCATTGTTGATTATTTATTATTCATATTCATTTAATATTCAAGAAATTTTATTGTCTGTATGTAATACATAATAAAAATAACAGAAAATTGAATTACTCGGCAAGATTTAAGAAAAGAAATTTTAAAATCGCATTCTTGCCTTAATCATCAACTTGTTTTTCTTTTTGTAGTCGTATTTGGGACACTGCATCTGGTCAGTGCTTGAAAACACTTATAGGTAGGTCATTGTGTCACATATTATTATTTATTGAAATTAATCACTGCAGTTTCTTCAATCTGTATGCAATATCTATGTTATTACTTATTATCTGCTCAGTTTCATTTCATTTTCATTTCATTTCATTTGTTTTGTCTCAATAAAATGCATAAAAAACAACAACCGGTTACAATACAACAAAATAAAAGCATAAAAAATCTGAAACAGGCCGAGACAGGATTCCTAAAAGTGAACCAAATCACTATCATGTAGGTCTCCTAATCACTATTCCGATTAAACATAAAATAATAATAAAATGAACAATTGATATAATACTTAAAATCTGTAAAATTTGCCTCAACAATAAATATATATATAGAAATTGTAAAACTTATTTAAAATATAATTTAATATCGTTTAAAAATGCTTTAAGATTCAAAAACCTATAAATCCCTAGTTTCTACAGGTAGTTCCTCCCAAGCGCGTGGAAACAAATGAAACACAGAATATTTCAGAGAATTTGTTCGAGCATATTGATGTACAAATTTAAGATGATCACCGTGTCTAGAGTTGATTGTTATGTAATTAAAAATATTAAAATCATAAAAGCCATGAAGACATTTTGCAATAAAAGAAATAGTAAGAAGCTTAAAACGATTTTCAACTGAAATTAGACCGATAATGTCAAGACGTTCTCTTTCATTTTATGTCGATGTCCCGATTAAAAAGGTGGTGGTTTAAAATCTGTTGAAAGTGTTCCATGGGGGCTAAGCCCTCGAAAAATATGACAATTAATTTTTTTCAAAGGCATATTTAATCGATTTTGGAGTCTCCTAATATGTAGAAAATAGTCGTTTTGTAGTACGGAATATAAAAGCTACATAAAAGAAATATTCTTGAATCTATGGTTTTTGAAAGTTCAGTTATTATATTTACAGTTTATTGTAACTACTCAATTCTTGATTCTAGATGATGATAATCCTCCAGTTTCTTACGTCAAATTCTCACCCAATGGCAAATATATTTTGGCAGCTACATTAGACAAGTAAGTATGATGGTTTGGCAATTCTACTTGTAACTTTATTGTATTAATAATTATAATATTAATGATGATTATAATAGTAATTGTAATAATAATACCAACAACAATTAGACAGTGCACTGATATCGAGTTCATACCTCCACAAGGACTTTACCTTATATCACAAAGATTAAACACCTCTTTGATAGACAAGTATGTACTGCTTCACCAAATTGTATGATTTATTATTATTCTGCACAATTCTGCTAGCAAAGAAACTGACATACAGTGTAAATAGTAGCAGTAGCTGTAGCAGTAGTAGTAGCAGCAACAGCAGTAGCTGTAGCAATAGTAGTAGCAGCAACAACCGCAGTAGTAGTAGCAACAGCAGTAGTAGCAGCAACCGTAGTAGCATTAGTAGTTGTAGCAATAGTATTAGTAGCAGCAACATCAGTAGTAATAGCTGTAGCAATTGCTGACATTAAATTTATTCAATTTCATTAACAGCACATTGAAACTCTGGGACTACAGCAAAGGAAAATGCTTGAAGACCTACTCAGGACACAAGAATGAAAAGTATTGTATTTTCGCAAATTTCTCAGTAACAGGAGGCAAGGTAAGCATACACTCATTTTTTCCTCTCAAAGTAATGAAGTTAAATTCAGGCTCTGGAGGAAAAACATTTTTTAATATGTTGTACAACTGATTTTTCGAAGACATAACTAGGGGAAAAGGTGGAAAAAATGTGGTTATGTCCTTTCAATACCCACAGCAGACCTTGAATTAAATTACAGTGGGTGTCATTTTTATTTTTATATTATTATAGTTTGTTATATATATATATTTGTGTTTTTAAATATTACATTCTTATCTTCATTTGTAAGCATGCTATATATTGTAGATATATCATTATTATGTATTTTCTTTTTTTATAATGTTTAGTGGATAGTCTCAGGATCAGAAGACAATATGGTATATATATGGAATCTGCAGACCAAGGAAATTGTACAGAAATTACAGGGACACACAGGTAGGTAACCTTACGCCAGGATAAGTTTGATAAAGATATAAAAGCATCACATTATTTTGTTTCTTTGAGGGCCTCTGAATATCATCCGACCTAGGATATGCTGGAAGGGTCACCTTCTATAAATATCATTTTTTTTAAAGGAATAAATTGTATGTTTTTCAATGTTTGTTGGAAGTTGAACAATGTTTGGTTTCATATTAATGAACAAATCAAATTAGTACTCTGGTAGATTGCTAGTGTATGCTCATTTCTGACTAAACAAATCCTGTTTACAGTAGGTACATAAACTACTAGTTCATCAAGGTCTTATCAAACTTTTTAAGTCTTATAGAATGTGGTTACTTTTCATTGTACTTCAGTCATTGCTCTTGTCTTTGTAACAAAGCCTTTTATTATAATTGTCTTTTACATTTTTATCTTAATTTTTAGATGTTGTTCTCTGCACAACGTGTCACCCAACAGAGAATATAATTGCATCAGCCGCCCTCGAAAATGACAAGACGATTAAGATGTGGCGATCGGATTGCTGATCCAAGGAAGTTCTTTCCAGTATAGTTATACCATGGAGGAGATGGTTATACTGCCCTCAATGTTTATTGCTAATGTAGACACTTGTAAAAAAAAAAAAAACCAGGGACGGTGGTGTTCTGTAGATACATAAATGTCATTTTGATATCGTAATACCGGTCGCAGAATCAGTGCCACAGTTTTGTGCAAAGACATTATGCATTACAATACGACTTTACATGCAGAATAACAATGTTGTAATTATTTACTGTCTATCAAATATCATGACTTGTATAAAGGCATGCATGTTTTGGTTGCACTAAAACATTCAAGTGCTAAGTTAGTAACCATCCTTATGCTCAATTTTAACAGTTCCTTAATGTGCTATAATCGCTGTCCACACTATCAAATTGTGACATACCTAAATATGGTCATTAGATGACATCACAAACTGACCATATATAGGCACATCATGACTATATATGGGCATACAGCTGTTCTTTTTTTCAAATAAAATTTGATAATTTGGACAGGGCTTTAGAAATCTAGGGTCTCACCAAAAATGAGCATTGATCTGTTGGCCTGTAGATATTCCACATAAGACAATATGCTAGAATATTGTAGTCAACACCTGATTTAGTAGTATTTATATATTGAAAAATTCAATTGTTCTAAGGTGCTTAACATTCAATTTCCATAATTGTAGATTATCCACATAAGACAATATGCATTGCTAAAGTGCTGTAGTCAACACCTCTGATTCAGTAGTATTTATATATTGAAAAATTAAATTGTTTTAAGGTGCTTAACCTCCAATTTCCATAATTTCATGCTGGGGTCCAGTGGTTGAAAACAAGTGGCCTTGGGCATAATGCTATAGTCTATATACAATTATCTCACCCTTGACACAGAATGAATCACACACAATGTGCAACTTCCTCCTTTCCATTTGGGATAACCCTAGTCTTCTCTAATTCAGCACTGACCAGAATTATGTCTCATCCTATCAGGTACTCATTTATACTCCTGAGTAGAAGAATCTGTGGCTGAAAGAGCCTTGCAATGGTAACTGCATTGGCTTGAACTTACTACTGAAGTGGTTGAAAGCTCAAAAACTTTATTTATTTAATGAAGAAAGTTGTATGTTGATTAAATTAATTTTTCTTTTAATGAAAATAATCAATATTATAATAATACAAACATTAAAGGTTGGATTAAGGTGGCTGACCATATAGGTATCTTATCATAGCTACCTACCTACCCACTTTAGGCCAAGCAGCCCATAAGGCTAAAGGACACTCCATTTTACAGTATATCTGGCTTCATTTCACAAGACATTCCCTGAAGCCTGGTTTCCATAAAATCGCTACAGTGATTTGAGTGTAATCATTGTACTGCGTTAGTCCCCGAAGCAATCAGGAAGGCTCTCCAATTCGACCAATCAATCAGCTACACCGAAAGCTGTCACCGATAGCATGTAGCAATTGTATGGAAAGCAGGCTTTACCTTTTCCTCCTAACTCTATTTTTACTTGTTTATATTAGGCTACGAAACTGACAACATGTACTGTACAAATATATTACATTTTCATAACAGTCCAGTAAAATTTCTTTAATTCTGTTATTGCAGTTAATATCATGGTCATAGATTTAATAACCAGTCTAAAATGCTACCCAAATATGATGCGTGTTACATGTGAATGGGATTGACAAATCTAAACTTGATGACGTAACAGTATTTGTAAGGTTACAAGAACCGTAAACGTTTTTTGAATGTTATGGAGAATGGACATTTCTGCTAAGCCCTGTCCCTTGTACAGTATTATGGTTGCTAATCTTTCACAAAACAATAGGAAGCTTTCGATTTGTGCGGCGACGCTAGAACGGAATCGCTCATGCGTGACCGTCCTACCTGGCGTTCTACGTTCTCTGCATTCGTACATTTGGCCAAATTGCGTTCCAGAATCTACTCGACAAGGTGACCTTAACGTTCTCGCATGCGCGGATGACTTTTAGTGACGTCATTACGTTCTACGTCCTACCGTCGTCATGCAATTGAAAGCTCTCTATTGTACGTTTATGGGACAGCATGTGTGCGTTCCTGGCAGCAGTGTTCTCCAATTAGTCAGCTCTTAAGTTTGACTGATACTCCAGAAAGGTCCATACACTGATTCGTTCCAAGAATTGGTTCACAATAATAAATGATGCTGTAGTTTAAAAAAAATATATACATTTTATTGTACTCCTTATTTTATTTCCCCGAAATAAACCAACAAGTTGTCATTCAGGACAATTACTTGGTGTGCCTTAGGTGGTTCCATTATTTTTTATGGGGTGTTTATTTAATAGAATGATAGCAATTAGTAGGTTTATCCAGTTTTCTTACTCACAAACTACCAAAATCAATGCTGATTTGTGTTTTTTTTTCGATGTAAAAATAGTTTTAAATGAAGTGTTATTTCATTTTGATGTATTAAAGCTAAAATAAGTAAGTGATTATGTTCTGTATATGTAATTTCTGTTTTTTTTTCAGACTGAGGTCCATTCCATATGGTTCAACCCCTCCCCCACTGAAAAACCAATGTATTATGGAGTAACATCCCATTGTCTTTGAATTGTTTTAATACCTCCGCCAAGAAGTTATGTATTCATTACTGTCTGTTAACATGATTTTGCAAAACTGATTAAATTTTGAGGTGAAGAGGTCCCCTGGAGCATGAAAGAAAGTTCAAAGTACAGTAGATGAGCAATCCAAAGTATATTTTTCACGTTTTTCCTTAATTCTGTGGGTGACGATCGATATCTGCTAATTGTTTGACAAATTAATCAATATGTGTGGTACTTCTGGTCAGTGCGATCACTTGCTCAAGTCATGTTATGTGAATGTTGGTACAGAGGGAAGCAAAAAGAAAAAAATCATACAATACTGTACAACATAATAAACTCAGTATTTTTTACTTGCAACCAACCAAAATATCCTAGACTATAAGGTTGACCTCCAAGCCACAATCTTAGCGCATACCGCAGAACAAACTGCGCTGGGGCATCTGAAGGGTACAGTAATAAAAGAGTATTGGTTCCGAATAATGGTGGAGGCAGGGGCGGATCCAGGATTTGAAAGAGGGGAGGTTCATTTTTCCATAAACCCAAAAATGAGATTTTGATTCCTAGATGGCCGGCAATAAACATTATTGAGTAGTTGGAGGTGTTTCTCAATAAAGTTACTATCACGTGGTTTATCATTTCTCTGTATATTATTTGAGAGGAGTTTTAATGGGGTGCGCTCGCTTACACTCTAGGTATGTGAACGTCACGATTAGCTTTTGATAAAACAATATGCATGTTATCTCGTTCAGTTATTGCTGTTGTTATACGTAGTGTCGGAAATGCAGTTTAGATCATGTGTTTTTTAAAGCATGCTTCATTGACAGCAGGTCTGTACGCAGGATTTTTATTTGGTGGGTGCGAATTTGTAGAGAGTGAACCCAAATTACTCGGGGGCGGGGAAGAGTTTAGGCATTTTTGATAATTTGAGGTCTTATTTAATCGATTTCTGAAGATGCATGTATTAAAACGGTTTTCAGCGGCGGATCCAGGAATTTTAAGAGGGGGATAGCGAGGGACTTACAGAGATGGAGGAGATACCACATCTGCCCCACCATGATTGAGGCTGAGTGAAAAAAATTTATGATTATGGCACCTTCAAATGGTCGGAAATTGCACACTTACAAAATTTTAATATCATTTTCTTTTTCCCCATTTATTTTCTATTTTGAAAAATTTAGGGGGGGGGGGGGGGGGCAGGACGACTGGGCCTCCTTGAATCCGCCAGTCTCAGTGGCGTATCTAATAAAGAAGGACTCAGAGATTGAGGGTCTATATCATCTCAGCCCCACCATGGTAAAGGCTGAGAAAATCATGCTTATGGCACCTTTAGATGGCCGGAGATGACATTCTCAGGCTTAAATTTTAATATAATTTTTTTTTTATATAATTTTGACAAATTTAGTAGGGGGGGGGGGATGGCCACCACAATTGGGAATAGTGCAGCACAGTCTAGAAGCACAGATACATTAGGGAAAATGTCGATGAACGTTGGTTAGAGCATGGAGGGGTAAACTAATTCCTCCATGGTTAGAAGATCTATAGCTTCATTGACAATCGCACTATAATCTGATATTGTCTACACAACCAATAACCTTTCTGTATTGTTTTTGACGTTTCTTTGTGTATTATATATTTAATTGCTCTGACATTCGCCATGGCAAACGGTGCAAAGATCTAAATCCGCACCTGCTGCAGTATCAAGATCTGTTCTCCAAGCGAAAATAAGATGATTTTAGTGAAACCTAGAAGGAAGATTAGTTTGTAATTTAAGGAGTGGGGGGGGGGGGGGGGGTAGGGGTGTGTGGCATAACACACCTAGTAATATACAACCGCAAAACAACTGAGCGACGGCTAGCGAATGAGCAAATTAGTACACATGTTGTCGAAAAGCTACCCCTTTGGTGAAAAACGACGGTAAAAGTCATTATTCCCTCAATCTAAAATATGGAATGATACTGACTAATAAGTTTATACGGAGACTTTGATGATCTATGACTATGTTGTTACAGTTTTTTCCCAGACGTTTATTGAGGACTAGGCCCACAGCTTAATTAAGCGTAATTAATTATGACATTGTTATTAAAATATCGCTTTAATAGGATGGATTTATTTCAAAGAAAAGCAAAAATAGGCCTACCCAAATTTGATTTGTTAAAATCAATATACGGTATAATAACTAAATCTGTATGAACCAGGACGTCTGATCGATTTGTATAGGCCTAGTAATGAATCAGCAATTACAAAGAGCACAAAACAGCTTCAGCGATATGGACACATAATCAATTCCTTGTATCATTGTCGATTCGAAAATATGGAACCCTATCTAAACTCCATGAGGCAGCGTGTAAATTACCGTCAACAATTATGTGATATCCAATCGCTTTTGGGTCATCCATGCGATAACGACAAAGACCCATCAGGTATATCACCCAAATTGTACAATACGATTGAGACTAAACTAACAGGCCTACACGAACAATGTGAAAATAAAGAGTTCATTGTAATCAAATCTATTCGAATTTTTGACATATTGAATCTGTCACAATTGTTTAACGATAGCGAAATAGATTTTAAAATATTGCATCTCATTCGTGATCCAAGAGGAATGACTTTGTCAAAACTAAAGGCTTGGGCTCCAGATGTCATTAAAAAGATGAAAGCAGAAAACAGATCTGTCTTTGATGTTCAGGATTTACCTTCTGACTGGTATTCTGGTTTAGATGATTGGTGTAAAGCTTGGATAAAAGATGCAAGTATTGGGCAACAGATGGTATCAAAATACATGGCAGTAAGGTACGAAGATATATCAATGATGCCATTGATGACAACAAGAGAAATATACGACAGACTTGGTTTAGGTGAGGTTTCAGAACACGTTGTAAACTGGTTAAATGAACATACAAAGGAATCAAGGGGTGACGAGTACTCGGTCTCTCGAAACTCAAAGTTAAACGCAGAGAAATGGCGTCGAGATATGACGTATATGCTTGCAAAGCGCATACAAGAATTGGAAAATTGTGGAAAATTCCTGGATAGATTTGGTTACATCAAAGTGAAACGCCCTCAAGACCTTACAAATACAAGCTTGTCGTTCAGTGGAAAAAAATATCAACATAACGAATATAATTAACAAAAAATAATAATAATAATATTAATAATTAATAATTAATAATAATAATACAGGTCTCCCTCCACTTAAATACCACTTTTCTGTGGTTCCATATTAACAAATGTCTTTTATCTTCATTATTCTAATTAGAGACCTTTAGTTACTAAAGACCATGGAAACCCCAGTCCCAAAAGTGCTCTTTAATTGGAGGAAGGCCTGCCCACAAATGTAATAAATTTCGAATGTAGGAGCTGACTCAAAAAATGGCCAAACCGTTTCTAAATGTCTGGGAGGAGTTATAGGTCATTTGAGGTCAAATAATGATTTGATAGATTATTTATTTTCATTATGCATGCTGCCAAAATTGGCTCTTATTTATATGTCATAGAGAAGCTTACCAGATATGACAGTATTCTTGTTATTTCATGTCAAAGGTCATTTAAGGTCAAACACTGGAAAACATGATATAATGCAATGGTACATGTAGCTAGCAAAGTTTCGCACGAATAAGTTCGAAAATTAAAAATAGTCGCCATATGTTTATTTTTAAATAATCATAGTTACGGAAGAAATGTCAAACAAATGTGAAAATTTAGCTTAATTATAGGCCTACAAATTATGTGGGAAAATATTATAGGGCATCCGTGTCTTGACAACCACTGGTTGTAGAAAGTTAGCATTCTTTTTTTTCCATATGCATGTTTCTATTTCTTCCAATGAGACATGTTTTCCCGAAAATGACATCTTGGAAACATAATACATCCCCCAAGAACTTTGTAGGCTGCCCTTCCAGGCGTTTAGAAAATTGCTCTCCGACTGTTTTTGTTGCTCGTACGCCTCATAGATCAAACGCTTAAATTGTCATGCTTCTGTCGCAAAGTGCACGGTTTGGCCATTTTTGGGTCTTAGTTTCTATATTCGAAGAACATTATTACATTTATGGGCGAAGAGGTCATGTTTTGTTGTTACATTTGTGGGCGATGATCGTTATGTTTCTGTAGATGTGTTTGAAGGGCTTGGATTAAATGTGGCTAGATTGAGAACTTCAGCCAAGGCGATTGTGTGTGTGTGTGTGTGTGTGGGCACAATGGGTTAATTTTACACCTTCACCTCTGCAAAGAATGTTCTGTGTCTGAATGTCATAAATCATCCAAACATGATGAGAAGGGTATAGTGAGTTCGTCTGAAAATGCAAATGGATTACGATTCAATTGCCTACTTACCAAGGTATAGGCCTATCAATGATCGAGGTTTATGGGATTATGGCACATAGGTCTATCGTGGGATTCTTTATTAAAGCATGCTGTAGAACACTGGGTTCACTTTTAAGGAGGGTTAAACATTGGGGGTGAAAAACAATAATTCTATGCGCCTACGAAAGCGCTACAGAGAGAGAATGCAGTGAATCAATCGGTAAGCAATTTGACATTTAAATTTGACGGATTTCACTCCTCCCTGTATATATTTATATAGGCCTACTCTGTTTTTGGCTGTATTCTTTTTTATTGATAATGTCAATAAGCTTAGTTGGCTGATTGATTAATTGATTGATTACATAATACTCCATGAGGAATTTACAATTATATGTTTATAATTCTAAAAAGGCGTTTCCAGTGAAATGAAAACTAAAACGCTTGTCAAGAAGTGAAAAATAATACGTTATTGCAAAGCAACTAAAACATTAAACATGCGAACATAATGTTTGAAACTATAACATCAGTAACCATTATTTTATAGATTATCAATATAAATATATAATTATATAAATATGTGACATACAACAGAATAATGTATACACGGATTATATACTTATAGAGTAACAACATATATCATATAATCAGCCAATCATAATAGGCAGCAAATAGCAAACAACAAAGAAAACCCCCAAAGCTGTGCCTGATAACTGGCTATACAATGGAGGAAACAAATTTACTAAGGAAACAACCTAACAAATGGATAAATATTAAGCGTGCTCGAATAGGAACAAGATGTCATAATCTTATCGAGCATAGCTCTTCAACGAAAAATACCTTTATTTAGTTGTATGAAAAAAAATCTTAATTTATATTATATGCTATTATCTGTTTCCAGCCGTACCTGTTGTATAATAGAGCACGGCCGTAGCCACAAGATTTGAGTGGTCAGGTTGCAAGCAAAGCGAGCACTGAGGCTGGGGGAAGAGGGGCCGCCAATGGCCCTGGTGGTTTAAGGGGCCGAAGGCCCGGGAAAAAAAGTATTTTCACATTGTATAGACTAATTTTAATGATTCGGTAGTAGTAATGTAATACAATAGTTTAAACAAAACAAAAAATTAAAAACATATATTTTAAACTACCATTAGGGTTATGTTGAAGCAAAGCAATAAAAACGCTTTGAACTTTAAACCAGGCAGGTCATTCAAGAGAAAGATGGTTACATTATAGACATAGTCCTTATGATCGTAGCGAACTTTCTCGGAACAGTGGACTTTATGAATAGCAAACTTTATGACTAGCGAGGGGACCCCTTTTATTTTGCTTTTACCAGCTTTCCTATACCTTGCCTATAAGCTCCACATTCATGCTAATCGTGCTATATTACCCTCATCAAGCCGCGATGCTATAAGGCAATTTTAATACTTTCTTGATGATATTAAACACTGTATTTTTACCTCCGCGCGAAGAGCCTCGGTCATGTCATGATTGGGACCCAGAATATGGTGATAAAAACCCTCGTGGGGTCCATGGAAAATATTTTATGGTTTAGGATGGCTCAATATTGTGATTTTATACCATAATGTTAGAAACTGCCAATCACATTATTTTTTATAAGAATCAGCAAATACTATTTTTAATCCGAACCTCATCCGACAGGTGAAAATTCCCCACTGACCCCGACGCCACTGTATGCAAGTTGGCATGTCCTTCCCACACCTATATATTGTTGAACATTCACACCAGTCATACTGCTGTTAGTCGATACTATAGTAAATTATGATAAACAAAATAATATCGATTTATCAAAACAGAAATTGAATTACACACCTATCTGGGCTTATTCTACAATAACAAAATGTGTACTACAAGCCAAATGTTCGCCGTGTGAACCCACAGATATTAATTATTGATCTATCACGGTTCAGGTAAGCCACTATTTACACATCATGGTATCTCCCGAATTGTTTTTGTGACAAGGGTGGTGTTAGGCACTTCCTTGTGTACAATGAGATAGCGGATGTTTCAGCATTTATTCAATTAAAGTACATAACAAATATATAACTAGGCCAGTACATAATCTATAAAGTATATATGATGATGCAGACTATGACATTATCTGTTTTGGAATGTAATTGGCACTTCATACCTTATGATCAATATTATGAAATTTCGAAACCTCTCACAGAACATCTGTATCGATCGCCCTCTACAAGACAAGACATATTTCACCACTCCTGAGACCTAAATAGTAGTCACAGATCAAAACACACATCTGCATGTGCAAGATTATAGAGGACGCCGTGATAATAACTTAACCTGCAGGATTGATTATTTATAGCTCGTACACCTTTATTATCTGCTCTGTAGTCTACTTAATTGTTTACTAAACGTAGATTATCAGATAGATGCTCGCATTTATTATTATGCGATTAATCAACAGTGCAACTGATGGTTAAAATCTCAATTTTAGTGATGAATTGTTACCAGTAACGATCGATAACTTTGGATGTGCTGCTAATTGATGCCATAGGACGTTTATTCCGCACCTGGTTTGGGATTAATTGACAATATTGCAGGTAAAAATGAAAAAATTATTTTTTTATTCATTTAAACCGAACGGATTGATTAACGCTGAATATAGAAACGAATAATAATTACCTTGTAGGCTACACTAGTGCCAAGAGGCTCGAGACAGACATCGACAGTGACCCTGGAATCCAAGGCCCGATAGGACCCGAACCCTTTAATTGCAAAATACTAAAAAGTGTAGATACGCAAGAATCTGCCATAAAAAGAATACACAGGGTCCCCATCGGGAGAGCTCCCCAACCCCCACGTCGGGGAGAAAAACCACAATTCGTCGGGGAGAAAAAAATGTATTTGTATTTCTACATATTATTACTATAAAATCGATTAAATAAGCCTTTGAAACCCATTTTGCTCTCGTCGAGGAAATCTTCCCCCTCATCGATGGCATCGGCCCCCGTCGGGGCCTCGCCCCCTCGCCCTGTCGGGGAAATCCTGGTGCCACCCCTGGGTCGGGGGGCACCATACTTTAGTCCTTCTTGAGCAAGAAAAAGGTGCCGCTTCTTCAAGATTTGTTATTTCCATCCTTCTTTCTTACCAGTTTTGACTGAGATTTATTGATTGATTACTGAAGAAGTTGCGGTACTACAGGCCAGTCACCGTTTACATGGTCCCGAATCGTTTAGGATGGGAAAATCCTAGTCCCTGCTAATCCAAAATTACATTTCAGTTCGTTTAGATTCATTGCTCCACTTTTTAAAGTTAAAACTCTCTTTTGCATAGAACCTTGGTCATAGGCGTGTGCCAAGACGCCACCTACTGAAAAATTATACTTAAAATACAGATTCAACAACGATTGTGACGTAGGTCTATTCCCTATGAATAGGCTTATGTTGATAAAACAAACAATGAAATAAATGTTTAAATTTACAACTGCCAGCCAGCCAGCCAGCCATTGCCATTACGAAAATGAAAAATATATAATTTAACGAACAGAACATGTACCTGTCTATGTTAAATAACGTGAATACGTGAATACTTGTGATCAATTTTGCAATATACCATAGGCCTATATAGACCATGCCTATATAACAACAACCATAATATTATATTATAATATTATTATAAGGGCATACAGTGCCCAAAATGATTTTATGATAGATATGTATTTATACAGTAGAACTCCCTCCTTTGAGACATTCCTATTAGAATAACACTTTTCCGCAAAACGAGGGGAAATATATTTTTTTAACACTTGGCCAACCCCTATTAAGGGACACCCCTATTAATGATGGGACGGGGACACTTACTGAGTGTGCAAAATTTTCAAAACAATACAAACTAACTCCTATTGAGGGGACACTTATTGTTTTGTATCAAAACAACTACACCTATAGTCACAAAATAAGAAAAAAAATCACGT